ACGTACTTTGGTAGGTTCCCAGTGGGGGTCTCATTCAAGCAGGTGTCTTTCATACACGGACTAATAAGAACCGAGGTGAAGTGCAAATCGTTTGGAGAGCAGGCTACCTCTTGAATGAGCTTAGCTTAGAGATCTAAGAACCCCCGGAGTCCTTCCTGGTTGTGCTTTGAATAATGAGCACTAATAAAATGCAAATGTGTTCTTTGCCTCATCACACAGAAAGAACTAATGAGGACATGTGAATGTATTCATACCCACACGCTGCAAAACACCCCAAAAACTCCCCAGAACAATTTGTAACTGAATTGTTTCACAAAATTCTGAATTATAAACGTTTTCACACATGCACTCCTGAAAGTTTCTACAGAATCTTCTGCCCCCTGAAATCCTCCTGATTTGGTTGTCTAAACATGCACCTCGCAGCGGGAGAATTTCCCTGTCAGATGGGGGGGGGGGCGTCTCCTGAGCAGTGTTTGAAGTGGGCCGGTATGCTCCAGTATTGACAATTAAATATATTCTGCTTTTTCCGTTCACTCATGCAGCTCACCCCAAACACTTCAGGAGTTTTTAGGAGTTTTGCACAAATCGAACAAGGCTCATGTTCCTTTGGGGTAGCAGACATTTGAGTCATATTTGGAAAAGGCTGCTGATACGCAACATGGAAGCTAACGCTGTATTAAACAGGATGTCTACTGCTGCTAATGCATTTTATTCAACACATTGTACTCTTTATATTCTAACATAAATAAAAGTCTACTGCCATGTTAGCAGCTCTGTAAGACCATACAGCGCAGTGGTTCTCAATTGGCGGGTGGAGACCCAAAAGTGGGCCGCAGAGAAGTTTTTGGTGGGTCGTGAATGTGCAATGTCTCTTTGTTCTGTTACAAGTTTTAAAACATCTGAGGTCCAAACTGCACTTCTTTCATTCTATAAATGTAATTGATTAGAAAATATCAAATGGGGGTCCCGATTTCCTCATAAAGGAGTTGGTGGTAGATCCTGAGGCTAGACCAGTCGAGAACCACTGGTATAGTGCACAGTGGTCAGCTGTGCTAAATGCTAACATTAGCTTGCTAACATACGGTATGCTAACATACCAAGAGCAATGCTCAAAGTTGACAGTGCTAACATGCTTGTCTTTAACTTATGTAATATTCACCATTTTTGTCCTGTAATATCTATTTTTTATTTTTATTTAACATGGTAGCATCTTGCATGCTAACATTCGCTAATCAGCAGATAAACAACAAGGGGAACAGTTGAGTCTGAAGTGAGATATACCATTCAAGATGATCATTTATTGACGTTTCAGTAGGTATAGCATTTCAAAACTGACACGATTTCTTTCCAACTTACACCAATTTTTGAGTCCGAAATTTAAAAAATGGTTGTACAGGTGACTCGCGAGAAGAATGCCAGTCAGCACATAGCTGACATTTCCATCCTGTGTGTTACTATTGCATGCTCCCTGCAATAAAGCATAGCAGATGAGAGATGCATGATACATGATGCAAGCTGTTTCTGCTCCCAACGTCACGCCATAAGGTCAACCGCTCAACATTTAACATTCATCCCCGAAGCAAGAGAACGATTTAAAGATAGCAGGCAGCAGTTTCTATCATCTCAGTCTACAAATATTGAAAACATTGTCTCTGGTAAAGCTTATGAGGAAATAATAATAATATGTGGACTCAACCCCCCTGTAACTCACATTCCTGACATCTCTCCCTCACCACTTTTTCCTTTACTTCCTGGTTTCTCTTTGGCTGCACTGAGGGAAAAAAAGAGAAACTCCCTGTGGCTGGAGCATAAATCCTTCTCCCTGTGTGCAGCTGCCCCCCCCCCCCCTTCTCTCCAGGTACTCCAGCTTCCTCTCACAGTCCAGAGACATGCTCGTTAGGTTCACTGGTTACTCTAAATTTCCAGTAGGTCTGAACGTGAGTCTCTGTATGTCAGACCTGTGATTGAATGGCGACCAGTCCAGGGTGTACCCTGCCACTCGTCCAATCACAGCTGGGATTGGCTCAAGTCCCCTACGACCTCGAACAGGAGCACAGCTCGCACAAATTATGTGGAAATTGTGGGTTAGCGGTAGCTGGATATACACTACAGTGTAGTACCGTAACTGCAATTACAAACTACAAATTCACCAACTGCTGAGTTCCCTTAATAAAAACACGTGTCAGACTTTGACGGGAGCCGAGGGGGCGGCTACCGATGAACCCTTAGACATATTGTAAGCACACGTTGCCGTGATCGCCTCTCAGTGTGTACGCCGAGCGCCTTAACACTCCAAAACAGGAGACAGGATTCAGTCGACCTGACAAGACGTCTCCAATCTCAGAGGGAAAAACACCTTTCTGTGAATGTTTTTCACAAGAAATCAAGAGGATACGTAGTTGGCTATTGTTTTTATAACCTGCTTTTAGTAGTGTGCTATTTGTGAAAACAACAACTCAACCTCTAATGGATGATCGGATGTAGAAATGTGGAGGTCAGGGTCACGCTGAAATTTCAATTTTCATCTTTTCTGAGTGCCTGTAAATGTCTTTGTGACAATCTCACACACACTCACACACCAAGAGGCACACGGAGACACGACAGGCAGATCATAACGCACTTCACTTGTGAGATACGTCACTCAATAACACATGCAACAAACGTTTGAAAAAGCACTTTTTACAATAGAACTCAGCTCTATGGTGATTCAGTGATCACGGTGATGAATGAAATGGCTACAATAAGAGAAGCAGAACCCGACCCTTCCAGTGAAGGAGGCGAGCTCGTCTCTGTTTATTCTCTCTGAGCTGCGTCTGACATAACACGGCTGAATGCTGTCCAGACTTGTAAAACAGTTTACCAGATTTATCAAAGACGCTCATATAGCAATAACAATCTACACACACACACACACACACACACACACACACACACACATTTCTGTCTCCTCTGCCGTTCTCGAGTGATTTCCCCGGGGTGCTGGAGGAGCTGGAAGCTGTTGACGTGTCCTCTTTTTCAGGAGCTGGGTCGTAGCTGTGGCATGATTACCAGAAGCCCACACGAAGAAGTGTTGGGGGGGGGGGGGGGGGGGGCTACATGCGTCAGCAACAAAAAGTGGCCACAAGAACAGAAGTGATACTGACGATGCTAATTTAAACCACTCAGAGCTGTCTTGAATAGAAGACTCACAAGTTAGCCTTAAGAGACATCATAGTCATGCTGAGCTGGCTTTGTCTTTGCAGTCAGATAAAATTTTGATATTTGTTTTCAGGATCCCTCAAAGAAAGGTCAACGGGATAAAGAAAGACAAACAAAACATTAAAGGAGGTATGGTATTACATGGCTACACTGACTGATGTACTTGCTGATATCCAATTTGGCATTTTATGCAGGATGAGTGCATTCATGATTCTGGTGTAGGAATCAGAACAACTCGGGGAAATACTCAGTTCCTGTTAATGTTCAGCACGTTTGATCACATTTTTCACTCTCTGTGCTCATTTCACTTAACCGGCCAAACCACAATTTTGCTGCAAGCCTGAGGGACTGAACAGGTAAAGGACACAGAACAAGGCCTCTGAATCCTGGAGGTCATCAGGCTCTGAAGTCCTTTTTCTTTTTCCTGATATAAGCTTGTCACACTTTGCATGACGTGTCCTATTTCTGGCTTTTACTGCTCACACAGTTGCCTGCAAACTAGAAAGTAAACCCTCGACACGCAAGTGGAACTGCTCAGCAAGAAATACACACAAAACACATCAGCACATTTGCAATTCAGCCTCGGGCCAGCTCAGCAGATTGTTTTATTTTAAATTATCGTCTGGTGAATATATAAAGTATCACCAAACTGTCAAAGTCTCCCAGCCTAAACTGAAAGTGGGTTTCCTCTTTGCTGAGCAGACACTGTGCCGACTCTCTGCTGAACGTCTTTGATGCCTTCAGTGTTTCAAGGTGCAGAAAACGCAAAGATGATTCAATTTGAAGTCACCTTTCAAGCAAATCAAAGGAACGATTCAGCCCCGAGCCGCCAGGAAAGAGGGATTAAACAAGGTGCCCACCCAGGGAAATGAGAACCACTTGAGGCAGACATGAAGCCTTGGCTTTTGTTAATTGGATACCAAGTCACCGTAGAGCAGCGACAAACGATTTTTGTGACAGAGAAAACGTGAGTAACTTTGTGCTGAATGAGCTGATTTAACAACATAGGCCTCATCAAAATCACAAATGTAGATTAACGTCAACACATGTAGTGCTGACAGGTTAACCTTACACAAGAGGTCACCAGCTCTTAAAAAACTATTTATTACTGATATTTAATCTGAAATACAGAGAGCACTGTTTAGAATCCCAACATTTGAGAAGCTGTAACCAGGAAGCAAAAAAAGATAATAATCAGTCCGTAGTCGTTGACATGTAAATCAATCATTTCAGCACTTCTTCCCAATCCCATGTCGATATTTATAGGCAGTGGGGGAATGCTGTGATCAAAACATCCCTGGAAATCAATGTGCAAATCCTTGTTTTACAACTCGAGGGAAGACCTGCTACACTGAGGACCACTTGGGTCCCTGATGAGATCCCGCTCCCCTAACAAAACTTCTGTTGTGGTGCGGCGACAGTAGAAAACGACAGGTGCATGACACGGATCATGACATTGGCACAGAACCTGCGTTGCGTGCATGCTTCGTTTTAGTGCAGCTTCCAGTTTCATGGTGCATTGTGCGTAAAGTGGTTCAAATCCACAGCTGCTGCAGAGAAGTCAATGTCCTTCCGAGCAATTCTCCAAACAATAAAACACGTGCATTGTTGCATCTGCAGAGCACGAGAGCGATATATTCACCTTTTACACACACACACACACACACACACACACACACACACACACACACACACACACACACACACACACACACACACACACACACACACACACACACACACACACACACACACACACACACACGCTCTACAGATGGGATGATCGTAAAAGTTTCACTTACCCAAATTGCAGCTCGGGTGTGTTCGAGCCCCTTTAAAGCGTTCCTGTTAAAGGGGTCCAAAGGCGTCCCGTTTGGACGCACGGAGCCTGCGTGATTCCGTCCACCGCAGATTATGAACACGCATACAATCAGGAGGGCGTCAAGGCACAGACGAGCCGCTAAGCTTCATGTGTGGCGGGCAGCTGCTGACCTCAGATGTGTCCCATGTTTCACACCTTCTCTTCCGGAAAACACGGACGGACCAGCCCGTCAGAGCGCGCGCGCACACGCACACACACAGTGGCTTAATGCACACACAGCCTGCAAATCAGCCGGCTGTTGTTGCACCGCTGCCTCACACACACTTTGCTGGCTGCTTTGTGAAGCGTCGGCAGCACACGGTTAACCCCAACTTTTATTATTCTACAAGACATGAAGCCACGGGTCCTAAGATCCGCCCTGTTCCTGCAGCAGGAGCAAATGTGTGCCATGGTTCAGCTCACCTACATATCCTGCAGTGTCTTAACTTCCGTTACATCACGACACATGCAGGGAGTATAGCCCGTTTCAAAATGTAAACACGTTGAACATTTTCAGGAGCTACATATGATTTTCTTCATTGCTCCTCTGTTGAATCTTGACCACAGTGTTTTCAGAGCAGAAGTGAAGTTAGCGCCTCTTCTGGCCATATTTCTCATGTATTCCCAAACTGACAAAACTGGAATGAACGTCTGATCAATTAGTGACGATAAGCAGAGCAGTCATTTCTCTCTTCAGAGGGGAACATTACAATCAATGACTGCTCTGTATTTTCCTGTGCGAGAAACATTCAGCAACTATAAACATGAAAATCACTTCATTCAGAGGATATGCTTTAACCCTTTATTTCCCCTAATCGGGTGTTTTGTGAACACATCCTGGACATCCACATAGCCTACATACACACTCACTGTAATCTCCCAGTGGTAGTCAAGTCAAGAAGAAGACAATATACTTTATTAATTCAGTTTTTACACTCTGTTATTGAACATGCTACACACACATAGAGTGACACACACATGCACAAACAGGATCCTGTAGACATGCACTGATGGAGAGATGTCAGACTGCCCACAGTGAGCGCTCCTGAGCGGGTGGGAGGGTTTGGTGCCTTGCTCAAGGGCACCTCGGCAGTGCTCAGGAAGTGGACTGGCAGTGGCACCTCTCCAGCTACAAGACCAATTTCAGACTGAGCGACTGCCCCCCCCCCATGTGATAGATTTTTTATGACATCATCAGACTGTTGTTGGTATAATCTATGGGAGAGCAAGAGATCCAAGTATTACATATTTAGCAGGAATAAGAATACAGATGGAAAAGAAACTGAAGAATTGGTTGGATACAAAGTGAAGATGAAGCTTGTTTGTTGTCTTCTCTTTGTTTTTTAATCCGTTCTCTGTTGCACTGATGTTTTTCAGTCGCATATCCAAGGGGTGGCCTGCCCCCCTCTCCCCCATCACCCTTATTCAGACGTCTAAAAAGCCACATGAAATCACACAGTTAGTGTTATCATTGTTGTTATAGAGTGCAGTGCATGCTTCATGGTTACCTAAATAGAGAGATACGTGTCTTCTTTCTTTAATGAAACATATCCCTTTCCTGTGTGTTCTCAGTTTGACATGTAATGGAACGTTGTCTGAGCTGGATGACAGCAGGCACACGATGACATGCTGCTGCACGCTGTGATAACTGAGGACACTCTGTAATCTTTACATGCATACTATACGCAGCACATAATCACGACACCCTCCACAAGGTGTTCACAAGAAGTCAGTCTGAGGATGGATTGTGTGTCAGTGGTAGAGTAAGACATGCAGGCGTCACATGATTCAGTCTGTCTGGATAAAACAATCGACTGTACAAATATTACTTCCTGTTGTAACAGAGAGGGATTGTTGTGTTTTCTTGTAGCTGCATGTCTTTGAAGAAAATAATTTACTATACTAGCAATCTGTTTGTTAAAGTTGAGACTGTTACAACTTAAGGCAGAGTAAGACGGATCTGGCTCTAAACTGGTAACCATATAGTGAAAACTGAATACAAAGTGATTGTTATGCATTAAGGTATTTTCCATGTGAGGAGTTAGCTAATGACACACAATTAAAACTGACGCCTATTTCTATCTGCCTTATTCTATCTATAGATAGATAGATAGAATCTTTATTATCATTGTATATAAGGACACAACGAAACTTCGTTAGCAGCAATCTTAAACAGCAGCGTTTACAAAAACAACAACAAAAAAACAAAAAAACAAACAAAAAAAATATTTGAGAGCTACAAAACCAAACATGAACATTGCAGTAACAAACACAATCGAAGGGTCAACCTCTATCCTCCAAGTCTGTGGCCAAGGTTCTCTGCAGTGGATTGCTCCCTCCGGGCAGAGTGAAGGAGTTTAAGTTTCCTGGGGTCCTGTTCATGACTGAGGTTCACATGGACTGTGAGACTGACAGGCAGATTGGTGCAGGGTTGGCAGTAATGTGGGGGCGATGTACTGTTGTTGATCTTCGTTCAAATCTTCACCTGCGGTCATGAGCTTTGCGTAGTGACAGTGAAGCAGCTGAAATGAGTTTCCAGAATCCCCCAAGAGGAGCTGGAAAACTTTAAAGACAGAGGTGAAGTCTGGGTTGACTTAGGGTGCATTCACACCTAAGCTGTTGGGTCTGTTTGAAACGAACTCTGGTGCAGACCAAAGAACCAAACTCTAGTCTGCTTGAAGATGTGGGTCTTGGTTCGCTTCCAAGTGCATGGGCATTGTGTTGTTGAATCTGGCCAGATGCTTCAGAATAAACAACAAAAATGTCAATTAAGTTTGCGGGGCTAAAGATAGCATTGCTAATAACATCAGGCTTCAGTCCTCCTTGGAGGTTAACGTCCAGTTTAACCTGACACAGCCGACATAAAACGTAATCTCCATTTAATAGATCAATATCCTGACAAACTGCGCTGTGGTTCGAGCTGCCATTCTTCCACTGTCCCTCTGTTGTCTTCGGGGGTCATAGTGCAGCGTTTGGCTCGATGGAATTAGCCACTGACCTGAGCTACAGTCCCAACTAGGCAGGGTTAAACTGTTGCAACTTAAACCCTGAATCCCACCGAATCATCCCAACTTCATATGTGAAAGCGACCTAACTTTGCCTGTTACCACCGCTACCTGACCTCTGATAAGGGGATGGAAATGATATTGGATGGATGGCTCTATGTTGGCAAAATCACTGATTGATTTTCTAACTGCCGAATAATAAGTGATTTGAAAACTGATATATACTATAATCCTGTAACACTAAGATTTTTGTTACCTGTTAAACTGGGTTAACGGATAGACAGGGATTGACAGGCTTTAGGAGCACTTCCCTGTTGCCCTCGTGTATGGGGGAAGTTCATTTGAAGTTCATGTAGTTTCTTGGCAATAGTTTCTTCCTCGCAGCACAGCACTGGCGCTGTGGGATAAGAGGCCGAACTTCTCCCCCCCCCCCTCGACTCCCCCATCTCAAGTGCTTTTCTGCCATTTCTGTCTCAAGGCTTCTGTTTATTCTCTCATGAGTCACAGTTAAGTCAGACTGAGCACAGCCTCACATGTGTGCAGAGCGAGTCCACACACATCAGAGTGAAAGTGTAAAAAATGTAGGCACAGAGCAGGAGCTGATCTTTATCAAACATCTGCGACTGATGCCCGGGTCGAGGCATTCTCATGATGTATTTAACGATGTGTGGGAGGAAGAAACAACAACAAAGTCTTTTCTCTGGAAAAAGTTATCCCACTGGTTTAACATTATTTAATGTGAATCACAGAGAAGAAAAACAGGATTTCATTTGCTTTCGACGTCAAGTTTTTTTTTGTTCCTCAGCCCAGATTAGCCTCTGTTTGTGTCTTTTCTGGAGTTTTATCACCGCTTCATCAACACGTCCAATTGATTTGTTCCTTCCTTTTATCTCGAAATAAATATAGTAAAAAAAAACAGACTGAAAAAGTCCTTATCACAGATATTTGTCATGCTTTTTTTCGTAGGGGTGCTTCTGTCCTCGTATGATATGCTGCTTTAATCTAGCAGAGCATGCAGTTCATTCAGAGGAAGTTTGATTTGAAGCAGATTTGATGCTGTGTGAGTCACTTCAATTCAACTTAAGACGACAAGAACACATTTTCTATTTCACACTTTTGTACCTGTGTGACTGATCTATGGCATCAAGGACATAGGACAGAGGACATATGTCTCTGCAGACACAGTCACCACCACACATGTATGGAGGCCCAGAAGGGACGATGGAGCAGCTTTACTTATGATAAGTCTGTATTTTATTTTGTAGGAAGAAGCTACTGACTCTGTCTTTAATGAGTTCTCCTGCCCTTTGTCGTGATGCTCTTGGTGACATCTTGTGTGAAGCTCTTTGAATTTCCTTGTTGTTGAAAGAAACGTGCCTAAGTTGTTCTTCGGTGGTAATGGAAGTTGACTGTTCGTCTGTCTTTATCTCTCAGTCCTGTGATCAACTTCAACTGATATTCTGTTGTTTACATTTTTCCATGCGAGACACCCGGGCCTCCATGTTGAGCTGTACGCTGCACTCACCTGCCTGAGTGTGTATACTCCTCTAGGATATCTCCCTGGCTGTCCTTCCTCATCCTGCGTCCCTCTGACGCTCAGGGATGGAAATAACAACCTTGATACTAATTAGTTCTTCTTCTATTTTCCCAGCAGCCCCTGGGACCCCACTTTCATTCAGAGAAACTTCCCCTGAGAAGATGACGTGTCACTCTCTCTCATGAGATGCGAGGAAGCACGACTAAATAAGCCCTGGCTGTGTTGTCACGCAGGTGTACAGAAGGTGCGTTGGGTTTTGTTTAGTCAGGTGCGGAGTGATCGCTGTCTGTGTTTATGGAGGAGAAGAGATCTGTTTGTGTAAGCATTAGTGCAGACGACAAAAACAGCAGAGACTCCTACAAAAACAAAAAGGTGTTCTTTAGTAGAAGAAAGGTAAAACATCCTGAGATGACCGCAAACCTGTGCAGACAGAGTGGTGCAGCATCTCCCCCTGCTGGTGAAAAAGGGACAATGTGGTGTAGCCTCATTGATCATGCAGTTCTATCATCATTATTATTTCAGATGCTCTGAAGTAGAATCCATTAAGATGATTAACAATCAGTCATGTGGGGATGTGATTCAACATGTCACATGTGTAGCTGTTATCACAAAGTGAAGTGTGCTCATCAGTGGAAGCTCATGATGTTTGGTCCAGTTTTGTTGAATTGAGTGGGCTTCAGTGCGTGCCAAACACAAGCAGTGGTGAGTCTAGAGTCTGTTGGGGCTCTATAGGCAAAAAATCATCGGGGGCCCCTCCAACCTGCATCCATCACCATCATGTCTGCCAGTGTCCCTCCTCTTCCTCTCTTTCTTTTTTTTTACTCCCAGACGGATATTTTTCTCTCCATTTCCCTTCAGATCTTTCATTGACAAATGTTGGTTTTCAAAGGAGAGCGAGTGCTGTCAGATGGGGCCCCCTTTAGGGTTCCACATTTTGAGCGACTGCTGTGGTTTAAAGTTTGTCAGCCCTTGGGGGCCGCCTACTGGCTTGGGGCCCCGAGCAGTTGCCTGCTTTTTCCTATTGACAAGCAGCACCTCTGAACACATGCTTACTTTTAATTGTGTTGTACGTTCTGTCGTGTCTGTTCTCTGTGGGGGACATAAATCCCCAAAGGACATTTCTAAAACCTTTTCAGATATCAAACTGTAACCTGCTGGGCCCTCAAAGGACGTCCCAGCCTCTCTACGGTCTGCGTTTTCTAAATGGCTGCCATCTTGACAGACACATTTGATGTGAGCAAGAGAGGTTAGGAGTTGAAAAATACAGGTTGCACAAACAGCTGATGTGTGTTTGAAGGTTTTAACAAGCTTTTTAAAGTCTGTTTTTTAAGGATAGTCTAAACATTTTAAACACCTATCTGGACGTGTTGATGTCCCATCGATGATTAATTTGTTTTTTTATGAAAAAGATGGAGTCACAGGTGAATTTAACTGAGAGAGAGAACATTTAGCAAAGGATCGCTCAGAGTCTAAACTCAGACTCATCTTTCAGATGACGAGGAAACAGTGAAACAATGTTTGAAAGTATTTTAAGATGGATCGTTGTTTTTAAAAGTATTGCTATGGTTGCTTGGGCTTCAGTTTAAGTGGTTTTATGTGAGGTACCATCAGTGGCAATTACTGACACAAGCTTATCTGGTGTAGCTAAAAGCCACAGTGATAGCTAATAACAGTACACGTTTTTAAAAAAATGCTAAAGTTATTATTTAGTCAACATAAAGTGTTACTGCTCAGCTTTACTAAAACTGTTAAAAGTAAAAATTAAGAGCACGGTCAGCCCGACTATGACTCAATAATATTCTTCATTCAGAGTTTGCAGAACATTTCTCTGTTCTCTTCTCCGCTTGAGAAACTCTTCATCCTCATAAGAGTCCTCCTTCACTCCTCCTCATAGTCTCTCTCCTTCAGGAGCTCTCTGACGGGCTTAGACGCTTTGTGAATAACTTTCATCTTTACAAGGATCCAGTCTGAACTTCAAGGGGAAATTCTGAGAAAGAGTCATATAGTCTTCAGCGCAGCCACTGTGGGTTCAAATCTGACCTCGGCCCTTTGCTGCATGTCAGCCCTTATTCTCTCCTCCAGACATTTCCTATCTGTCTTCAGGTGTTTGAGCCAATAAAAAGGCCCAAAGAATATATATTTAAAAAGAAAATGCATAATAAACAAGATCTGTTGTCTCCGTTTGGTGTTTGTGTGTGTGTCTTTTTTTTTCTGAGATAAAAGAAGAAGAAGATAGTTGAGGTTCTCTCTTCTGAACTCTGGCTGTGAAGCTCCATGTGGAAGTGATGGTCCTGTACCGACACTTCATATTCTTACAGTGTGATGATCTTTCAGCTGGTGTTTTATTTTTGTATGTTCTTAATTTCTGTGAAACACTTTGGTTTGTTTTTAAAGTGCTATAGAATTGAAGATGACCTTGAAGTTTCAGGTTGTTTGTGTTCGCTCTGTCTTTTAATGGAAATCGTTTTTGGGTCAACTAAAGTCTTGTTTTTTCATGTTTCTGACGGTTTGTCAAATTAGAGCTTAAAACAGAAACTCCTTTTAGCTTCTGATCTTTTCCTGAAAGGATACATCTGAACCAAACTGCACAAAACCCGAAAGTTAGCATCCATGCTGAAATGTTCAGTCTACTGAGGTGGACCCAAAAAAAAAAAGGGTTCAGTCTACTGAACAGTCTGCACTCCATACTGAACTGTGGCCTGTATCATTAAAGGAAACCAGAAAGAGGCCTGTCACAGCTACGCAGAATAATAATCATTTAAAAATAAATCTCTCCATCCTCAGTTTTGATTTGGAGTTTTTCCTGTCCAGAGAAAAGAGCAGAAATATTTAAAAGGCCATGAAAAGAAGACAAGCTCTGAATAAATAACAAGATAAATTATCTTTATTTTCCACGTCTTTGTCATTTATAAAATTATGTGTCCACAATTAATATTAACAAGGCAATGCAGAGAATCCTTTAATTACTCAGAGGTGGATCTCGGGCTCTAGAGACTGAACGAGACAAAGAGAGCACGGACCAGAACGAGCCGGATGGTGCTGATACCAGCCCGAGCACGATCATCAATAGAGGTTGTTTTTTTATTTGAGCAGATGGTAGAGGACTTTGAGTACCATGCTGGACTGAAGAGGATTGTCAAAGGGGGTCTCTAGAGCCTGCATCCACGCCGAGCCCTTCAAAGTACAGTCAGAAAACTTCATATCCCAGGATTCATCACTGCTTATCGCTCAGTGTAAACCAGACACAGTTCATTCACAAACTCTTCCAACATTCTCTCACCGGATAACCATCACTGATCATCATCATCATCATCATCGTCGTCGTCATTTATTAGCGTAAGCATGACTCTTGTCTATCTTAAACATATTTATGACGTTTTCTTCTACCTACAGTAAAAGACACAAAACCCCAGGAATTGTAAAAACCGAAACAATGAAGAAGAAACAAACCTCTCTACTCTACAAAACAAAAGAAAGAAATGAGATCCTTAGATGCCGTGTGCTCGAGGGGAAATCAGAAAACGGTTACTGGTGAGTTGGACTGTGTGGTTGGCGAGCAGGTTTCACTGATGGAAGTTATCAAAAAATTAAATATCATATACTGTAGAGGTTATTATTACAGTAACAAGGTTCCATGCGGTCACACTCTCGTCTTCTGTACAGAGCTGAGGATTCAGTAGTAAATAACAAGGCTATACACACACACACACACACACCTATAGTGCCCGGTGGCCGGGGGCGCCAGCATGTTACAGAGCCGTGGAAAGCTGGGACGGGGATGGGGGATTTGGGGGATCTCTGCTGGTCTGGACTAAGGGGTACCTTTCACTTCATGGTGGTCAGAAAACGAATATGTGAGACCTGGACGTGAGTGCGATCTAATCAGGCTGTTTTTTTGTTTGTGATTTATGACTAAATCCAGCTTCTTATTTGAAATGTTCAGGAACGTTCCACCCTTAAAGCTTCGGACTAAAAGTAAACAGGACCCGGATTAAAGAAAACAATCTGGTGATTCCATTTTCAAATTCTTATTAGAATATCTGAATCGTTTAATTTCCGAGAGAACAATATGTGGTGAAAGTTTAGACGGCATAAACTTTCTGAATTTGTGTATTTTTTTTGCCTTTATTGGATCAGACAGCTGAAGAGAGAGAGGAAATGTTGGGAGGAGAGAGTGGGGCGACGTCATGCAACAAAGGCTCGAGGTCAGATTTGAACCCACCCCTTGCTGTGTCGTGGACTATAGCCTCTGTACACGGGGCATGCAACATTACCGCTACACTATCCGGCGCTCTCTGGATTTATGGATTTTTTTTTGTTGTCAAATTTGACAAACAACTGTTGGGTGATCCAGATGAAAACAACTAATTCTTGGATGATTTTTCCACATTTTTGTGCAGGTGGACAAAGAGATTTTGGGCCGATATTTCAAAAGGCTTGATATTGTAATGCCAACTCCAACCACTAGAGGCTAGAGAACGAAAAAGGAGAACTACAGGTGAATCCGTGTTGACAGATTTAAAAATAAAAATAAAAAATAAAAAAACGATAAGAAAGGATTGTTTAGTCTTTGTTTAGTTATATTGATTTAAGCTGCAGGGAGATGAAGTGCATGGATGTTCCTAACAGCACTTTCTTTACACAAGTGAGGTACAGTCTTTTTTGTTTGTGTAAGCAAGTTATCTACACGATTCAAGAACACAAAATTAGAAATACAGTGTCAGCAACAACTCATTTTTCTTCACCTGCTACTTAGTCATGAACTCCGAAGAGACAACTATTTGGACCAGAATAAGAAAACGGATCACCAGATTTATTTCCACTCTCCTCTGAGGCGCGTCCAGTGATGAGGCTGTGATTTATAACCTGTCATTTCTTCTGTGTGAGTTTATTTCTTGCTGTGATTTCCCAAAAAAAAAATGACTCCAGAGAGAGTGAGGGGTTGGAAATATGACGAGGTCACGCCATCTTAAGTTTGTCACTGACCGTGCACTGAATCTGAAGTGTTTAAGGATGGATTTGTCCCTTAGATTTAAAGTAATGCTCCAAGTCACACGACTGGAACATGTTTTATACATCAAGTCTGGAAGCAGGAAAAGGAAGAGAAGAGAAGAAGAAGAAAGTTCTGCACAGTCTGTCGGGAACTCAGAGTGAGAGTAGTTTACAGAAAGATCATTTCAACATTTGCTTTATCTTTAAAAAAAAACCTCCAAAGGGACCGACCGAGTGTGCAGATCCTACTTTCTGTTTCTCTTACTAAGCGGTTTACTGAATGTGCACGCCCCTCTCACGCACACGGAAGCAAAGAGAGACCTCTGACCCAGTCCACGGAGCACCAGGGCCCGACACACAAAAACCCATAATTAAGACTTAAAGACACAATCCAAACCCTGAGGGCTCGTTCAGTCAAATACATTTCTATTTAAGTCATTATAAAACGATACCCAGGTGAGACGCTAAAGCACTGAGAGAGCAGGAGGAGCCGAGGGAGCAGCGCACAAAGCGACAACGGAGAGAGGGTTTCCTCTCACACACACACGCACACACACACACCTCACACTGAGCGGGCATTCTTTAAGATCTCAGTGATCAGGGTGGACGTCTCTGTGGGGGCGCGTGTGAGAGGGCGGGGTCATTAAAGGCTCGCAGAAACACATTCATTTGGACCACATGTTCAATGTGGAGGTGCAGTGGGCGTTATAAGGCATGGATGATGAAACATGTGCTTAAGATTTAAATGAAACATCAGCAAGTGAGACGATCAAGCCGTTTTAGTTGACATTCCTTAACTTAATTTAACTAAATTATTTGTGCGATTCAAAGACTGTAAAGCTAACCGAGTCAAATCAATTCAAGTAAGGCTAAATGCGCACACACACACACACGCGCACACACACACACACACACACACACACACACACGCACACACTAGAGCTGGTGCAGGGTAAGGAATAACTACAACCACCTGCCTAAGATTTCACCCCCCCTTGGAGTTTTTCATGATTGTGTCACAACAAGTCCATGAAGCAGACGTTTTTCTGATGGAAACTAATGGTTGCACCTCATCTAACGAGGAAACTGTTTTAATTTCCCCCTTTTTTTATATTTTGTTTCATTTTTCAGTCATTTAATTGCTTATAAACCCGATTAAAGTCTTTTCAGAGCTGCAGTTGTGACATGACCAAATGTAGAAAAAGTTCAAGGAGGATAGAAACTTGTGCAAAGCACCACAAAGAGGGATCAAAACCATGAAGCTCTGGGACGGTTTGTCTGCACAAACTGTCCCGGAGCTTCACGCTCTTCTCCATGTTTCCCTTTAAAAAACAGATTCTTGACAGCTAAAAGTCAGATAGCAGCACAGCAGACGGACATTACAGTGAGGCTTAACAGGACCAGCTGGGTGCACTGGCCGACTACACTACTGATATGCTGGTTTGGTTTTTATTTATTTATATGTTATATGTTTTTTTTATTTGATTTCTGTCTGTGAGCTGACCTCAGCTCCTCCAATTAAGAGCAGAAGGAAAGGGCCAAGCAGCGTAAAGCTATTCACACACCTTCTAGACAGAGCGACATCGCCACACCCGGACATAAGAGCCCGACAACATCATAACGCCAACCCTCCCCAACCCCCCAACCCCCCCACCCACAGCTGCCTCTGAGACAGAGAGAGAGAAAGAGAGAGAGAGAGCAAAAGGAGAGTCATTCTGCAGCGATACAACAAAGCAAGAGGACGAGCAGTGAACGAGCTGCGCTGTGACAAACTGGCCGGAGATACGGAGGTGTTGAGCTGATAATGCCGATGCCATCACCGTGGGCGCTGCCTCCGCATAATGTTTCTGCAGGTACGATGGCTCTCTACGCAGTTCATCCCGCCTCCAGAGCTGGCTGTTTTCAACCTCCAACGTTCCTGCTGATGCTCTTCTCTTTCACCAGCGATTGCACTCTCTATGACGTGCCTCTCAATCTGTCTTTCAGTCTCTGTGATAAGTTCAAAGACCCTCCCTTCCCATCCCAGATATTATCAACCTTTAGTCCCCTGTCCTCCCTCTTCTTCCCTCCCTGAAAAGTCTGTGTTTGTACAGTTAAAAACCCAATGAGCAGAAATCCTTAAAAAGCAGAGCCTGGGTGGTTTGAACTTTTTTTTTTTTTTTTGTCTGCAGTTGTTTCTTGCTCTGGAAACTATAAAGACACACACACACACACACACACACACACACACACACACACACACACACACACACACACACACACACACACACACACACACACACACACACACACACACACACACACACACACACACACACACACACACACACACACACACACACACACACACACACACACACACACACACACACACACACACACACACACACACACACACACACACACACACACACACACACACACACACACACACACACACACACACACACACACACACACACACACACACACACACACACACACACACACACACACACACACACACACACAAAGCCATGCTCGCTGTAACACACATGCTCTCTTTCTTTCTTGCACGCTCGCTCGCATGCAAGCCCTGCTCGTTTCTAGTGGTGGTTGGTTTTGTCGGTCATGCAGGAGCGGGGAACGAGGACAGGGGAGAGAAAAAGGTTCCGAGCTCGTAAAGGGAGGAGGGAAGGCATGTGTGTGTCTAAGTGTGTGAGTGTGTTGAGGGAGAGGTCTTAGTTCAGCTGCCATCTCCTGCGGTATTTCTTGTCGTCATCACCTGCCGGAGATGAAGAGAAAAAAAACATGAGTTAGCGTACGTAGCACCTACTTTCTCCAGTCTGTAGGTGAGAGTTTTACCAGAAAGATAAGTAGGCATGAAAGGGTTCAGAAGAAGTACCTTTTCACAGAAGGTGAGATTAAAAGAGTTTAGGCTGAGTAAGGAAAGCAGCAGAGAAAAGAACAGATAAGACGTGTCAGGAAAATCACTTATTTATATAAATGTATAATATTTCAAACTGATAGCATCACTTTTCACTGCAGGACGGTCAGAGACCAGTGGCTGTGCATACCTTCTAGATGGTTCCTAGACATGTATTTCAGTGCCTCATCCAGAAGGATGACTGGGATGGAAATCTTGAGGACCACAATCCACTGGGACCAGCGCAGAGGGGTCACCTGGAAGATCAACTGAAGGACACAAGGAGTCCAAAAGTCAGAAACGTTTCTTCAAAATGTATCAGGCGGTAACAGAACTACAGTTAAAGATGTATTCAGTAGTAAGATTTCTTTCTCCAATGGTTCAAAAGCTGAGAACTCACCGGCAGAGGCTCCACGTAGAGGATGACAAAGTGGAGGGAGAGCGAGAGGATCATGGCGCCCAGAAGCCAAATGTTGACCCAGGGAGGCATCCTGATCAGAGACTGGTTCTCTGACAAACTGAAGGGGGGAGAAGAGTTCAGAGATTACAACATGTTGACCATGCCAGGTTGAACTTTTACACCAGGGACTTAAATACAAGTTATTCTATCATGTTGCAGAGGAGAAACAAAGGCCATTGTGTTTCAACTTTACTACAATTAAATAAATAATCCAGGTCTATTAAAACCCTAACGACCCTTTGATCATTTAGCATGAGACACAGAAGGGAATTCAAAAAATGGAGACAAATGCAGGAAACGACTGAACTTGCAGGTGTTTATTTTAAGTCTTATTCAGATTGAAGTTTCAAGGTGTGATATTTACATCCCTGTGATGTTTCACCTTTACTATGAATGTCATGGAGGGGCGGCTCCATTTTAAATCGCCGTTTAATTTGCCAGCTATGTAAGCCATCGATTATGGAAGACTTCATTACATTATGGTGTTCATTTAGACAAACACTACTTCTGTGTAAAGATTAGAAATGTGCATGTAAACACATTTAAAGTCAAAGCTTTACAGATCAGACTTATATATTAAAGTCCAGATGGCTGACCTATTTTTATTTATTTTTTTTTTTATCAGAACTGACTGTTCTAAAAAAGCAAAAAAAAAAAAAAGAGTCCTGACATAAACTGACATTAATTTGAATATCCTTAGACGACCTTGAATGCAACACTAAATGTTTTTGTCCTCTGATGGCTGACAGTAACCATGTTTCTCCTGACTGTGCTGGGTCTATGCAACAGTTTCCTTGGTCATGTATCTCTTTATTGTCACGTTTCCCATCCTTCGGTTCTGTCCTGAATGACACAGCGGTGTTTGTTTCTACAGGGAGCCTCGGGCAGACTCTCTCCATGAGAAAACCTGGCAAAAACACACGGGGAGTTTCCCCTCATTCTGCCTCCAAAACAAGCATTCTTCCATTCCCTCACGTGTGTCTGAGCTTTAATTCTTCTCCACATTCACTAAAAAGGGAGTCGATGTTTGTGATGGAAGATTTTCTGTCACGTTATCGCTCACAAAGCCGTGTGAAGAAGAAATGTCTCGTTTGATGACAGGGATTTCTTTTTTAATAAAAAAAAAACAATAGACAGCCGTGACATTTGAGGAGCGGCCTCAGAGATGAGATAACTGACCTGTTGAGTGCGTTTAACATTTCGATGGTGACCAACACAGACAGCGCCATGGTGGTTGGGTAGCGGGATTCAAACACCTCACAGTCTATGCCCTGGAACATGGGGTTCTCCTCCGTACACTGCATGAAGTGTCTCTGCAGAGAGAAGGATAGAATGGTGGGGTTAGTGTGTGTGTGTGTGTGTGTGTGTGTGTGTGTGTGTGTGTGTGTGTGTGTGTGTGTGTGTGTGTGTGTGTGTGTGTGTGTGTGTGTGTGTGTGTGTGTGGACAGGATGTGAGCTGGACCTCTGCGACCTGGTTTGATGGAGCTCAGGTCTGATGGGGGAACAGCTGTAGAACCCTGGCCTCACTCCCACCTCGAGTGCAATCAAACCACATGGGTCTGACTTCACTTTCTATTTATGTACACCGCTGGGATCTCCAAATATCACTCTGTCCAACAGCAAAGAACTCAAAGAAAGGCTGAGAGAGGGTCAATTAATGCTTTAAAAAAAAAAAAATCCTGATTAATCTCATGCTATTTTGTCCCTTCAGGCTCTCCGTAGATAGTGGTCCTCAGTGTCTCCTTGTAGTCTCAGTGATGTAAAAGAAGGACACTGCTGCTTCTTTGAATGTCTCATTTCATTTTAACAAACTCTGATAGCTCAGCTGACGAGTCCAAAGTAATATCCACCTTATGACATCACACATTGACCTTTGTTACCGTTCCTTTGAGCTGTTCGACCTCAGTTTGGGATCCCTAACCACTTCCTGTTTCTGTGCTTAACTTCATGTCCTCACCTTCCATTTACAGGAAGGGCCTAACTTTATTTCAAAAGAAAAGCACACAGGAAGTAAAGTACTCTCAGCTTAAGGCAGCACAGACTTCAAAAAATAAATACCTTTGTTGTTAAATGTGAACTGATGACTTTTAAACATGATGATGATATATGATTAATAGTGATTAACAAACAAAATTTAGCGATGAATCGTGGTTAAATATTTAAATCATTTAACAGCTTTACTACAAAGATATCTAATGCTATAGACCAGGCTCTAACTGCAGGTTTCAATGACCTATTTGTTGAGTGGAAGAACAAAATATTTTAGAAAATCATTTGAGTCAAATCATTATTAGTATCTGTGTAATCAGGGGGATGAGGTTCAGTGAGCAGGTTGTTATAGCGAAGATCCTTTCCTGTAGAACACCCTGTGCCGTTTTTATTATCCATAAATACAGAAACATAACTCTTATCTCAGGACAAATAGAAGGTTTCACACTCACCAGCTGATAGAAAGACACTTGTGGTCCCTCATCATCAAACAGGTACCACCATGTTGCAGCGCTCACCGTTCCAAGACCCACGTAACCTGCAGGCGACACAGAACAGATGTTGTGATGTTAAAGTCACAGACAGGACAGCTTTCAAATGCTCTCAAGCTTAAACGACACAGAACTGTGTGTAGACTTAGTGTTTGGACCTGGAAAGAACATTAACTCCTATACTGTAGATGATAGCTTAGTTTGAAGACGTCGCTGTAACATGTAGAAAAGGTAACAAACCAGACTGACTGAACGAGACAAACATGTTATGTCTGATCATTAAAGGTCGGTGCAGCATTATATAAAGATGTGTTTGTTCTCTTTAATCCATGATAAGCACGTTGTCAACACACTGTTGTCATAGAGACAGGACAGACGTGCAGCGACTTAACAAGTTTTCTGTTAGCTAGTCACAGAGTGAGGGTCGTATTAAAAGTACAACACCGTTTTCTAAGGCTGATAGCTCATATACGGATGTGAATGTGAAGTCTATTAAACACTGAAAACAGATGTATAATGTTACTGTTCTACCTCCGATGGCCAGATATCTGAAGAAGAGCCAGCCTGAGATGAGGGGCTCTTTAGGGTTGCGGGGGGGTTTGTCCATGATGTCCAGGTCTGGAGGGTTAAAGCCAAGAGCAGTGGCTGGCAGGCCATCGGTCACCAGATTAACCCACAGCAGCTGGACAGGGATCAGAGCCTCGGGGAGACCCAAGATGGCCGTCAGGAAGATGCTGCAGGTGGACAGAGAGAAGAAACACAAACGTCAGAATGAAAGTGGAGTGAAGAAGGCGGCTGTGTCTCCGTGTGTCCGTAACCCTCACCAGACGACTTCTCCCACGTTGGAGGAGATGAGGTATCTGATGAACTGCTTCATGTTGTTGTAGATGGCTCGGCCCTCTTCCACTGCAGCCACGATGGTGGAGAAGTTATCGTCAGAGAGCACCATCTCAGACGCAGACTTTGCCACCGCCGTGCCGGAGCCCATGGCGATGCCGATCTCTGCTTTCTTCAAGGCGGGGGCGTCGTTCACTCCGTCTCCTGTCTGCGGAGAGAAACAACTGACTGTGTCATTAATGCATCAAAACTCGATTTAAAACTTTACATTTGTATGAAAAGTGCAAAAACATTGTTCACAATGCATACAAGACTCAAACATCAAGCTCCATTATTCCAAAAAGATAACTTTTCTGACACGGCAACTGAACAAACCGCTCTGAAAAGGATTTTAAGGAGCAGTATGTAGCTCTGACACCTAGTGTTAAAAATGGGTACTGCAGTCCAAATTCTAAACATTGTAGAGAGCTGTCTCTGATTTACTGATACTGATTTAATTCAGTAGATATCTCACATATTGCTCCTTTAAAGTTTTCTTACTACTCTTCATTTTTTTAATCTTAAAATATAAAGCGCCCACATTACATTTTTAGTGAAGATCATTACTTAAATAGAAAATGTTCTAACGGTTTGTTGATGATGGTAAAACAAACTGCTGTGTCACTCTGCTGGGCCTCATTATCCTTTCAGATCCAGAGAGGATCAGGTTCAAGCTGGAAAAACAGAGATACACGAGTCCGTCACGTCTGGGACTAAAGCAGCTTCAGATGCTGCTGAATGGTTGGAGTCAGTCTGACAGCTAAATGACCATATTGTTGTCTCCTTCCCTCCCGTCTTTCCCTCAGATCAACGCCTCTTCTGAGGCTCGTGTCAGATAGGAATCAGCCGAGCGGGATGGCGATGACAGCTCCTGATAGCAGTGTCTGAGAGAGCGGCTCACACAGACCTGAAACATGTCACACCTCACTACACACTTCTTCTGCTTTGTCTTTCACAGAGCACAAGGGCAGAGGGAAGGCAGAAAGGCAAACAGGATGCAAAGTGCCAGAGGGATGGATTTATATTCACTCTACTGAATTCAAACACTCTCTGTTGAAGTGTTTTCTATCTCTCCTGTTGGAACAAACTGTGTCCTGAACTCATGTTAAATTATCATCAAGAACTCGTTGCCATCTCTCCTCCTCACCATGGCCGTGATCTCATCAAATGATTGCAGGTATCCCACGATCTTCGACTTGTGAGCCGGCTCCACCCGGGCGAAGCACCTCGCCCGTTTCACCGCCTCCCTCTGGGCCTCCAGCGGCAGATCGTCAAACTCACGACCCGTATAAGCCTTTCCTGTCACGTCCTCTTCTTCTCCGAAGATGCCAATCCGTCTGCAGATGGCCACAGCTGTGCCCTTGTTGTCTCCGGTGATCATGATTACTCGTATGCCCGCCTCGTTGCAGAGCTTCACTGAACCGATCACCTCCTTCCTGGGCGGGTCGAGCATGCCCACGCAGCCGACAAAGGTGAGACCCAGCTGAAAGAAAAAAACACAGAGAGAGAGAAAGAGAGAGAGAGGAGGATTAGAGTGCACAGAACCATATCTGAAAACACAAACACTTCTATTTCACAGACATGGAGTTTGCCTTTTTTCATTAGTGTTGCTGCTGAAACATCAAACTGTTTACAACACAAAGAGAGACCAGAGAAGAAGAAGCTGCAACTTCGTGTGTATGTGTGTGTGTGTGAAGCTCCCGCTGTTTGTTTGCACGCCATCCCTTTTTGCGGTTTTGCAACGCTGCAATGCTTTTTCATATCCCCGACTTCATACTGAGCAGATAAAAGTCAATCTATTTCTTATTTTTGAAGTGTGCATAATTTTTAATAAAAAAGAAAATCACGACTTCTTTTAGGAGCCCTTTGGATAGCCATGGCTTCTTAAGTGTATCTCCTCTTTTTTTTTTTACCTCATACTGAACAAACTTGGTGGCGTTCTCCAGGTCCATGTCCTCTCTGCGAGGCGGGCTGTCGTGTGTTGCCAGAGCCAGACAGCGCAGAGTGTCCCTGCCTGTCCCCCAGTCCCTGATCTTAGACAACAGCTGGTCCCGCAGAGCCGGGGTGAGCGCCACCTTCCCCGTTCCCACCCGCAGGTACTGACATCGCTCGATCACACTCTCTGGGGCGCCCTGAGGAGAGGAAGGATAAACATGAACACAGCGGCGACGACGACATATAGAATCCTTCTACGTGTCGGTTATTTCATTCATACATACCTTGATGAACATCTTGCTCTGGGATCCGGGCTTGACAGGAGTGCAGAAGACGGACATGGACTTGCGATCACGAGAGAACTCCAAGGTGAACTCCTTCTTCATCAACTGCCTGATCACCTGATGGATGAAACGCGGCGAGAAAAGAGACAAAGAGTCAGAACTGGAGCTGAGTAGATGGTGTTTGTGTGCAGCTGTCAGGCCTGCAGCCGGGAGCTGACTGAAAGCTTTGACTTAGTCACTGACATTTGAAGGATGACACTTTGAAGCGAGCACTCATCGATCTTGTCTGGATGTCTGGCAGCAGCCTCGGACATGAATGTGCTTCGTTTAATAGCACACACTGCTGATGTCTATCTAGGCCTTCAAGAAATCCCTTTTTTTATTCTGCATTATCCTGGTTTAGTGTGAACTTTTTAAATATGTTTAAAACGTAATAAAACAGGTATCGATTGCAAAGTATAAATCGGAGTCATAAAAGTGGATCTAAGTGTAAACTCTCTTTCTGCCAGTAGGTGTCTCTCTAGTTCAGAGTCTGTGTTGAGCTCAGTCCTCATAAAAGTCTCCAGAGATGAACATTGATCTTGCTCTCAGTCCAGCCAGATGGTGATGATGTACACACACCCCGTCGGGGGACTGCAAACATCTGACGGATGTCCTGAAATCTGTCATTGTGACGAACTTCTCCCCTCCATCAAACCAGCCAGAGTTTGTCTGGGCAAGGCATTCTGGGAAATGACTGTCCCACAGCGGAGATGTCGAGGATGCAGAGGATGTATCTGTTTGTTCATTAAGCAGAGGTTGTGATTTCAATTCAGATGACGTTAAGTCAGACGTCTGCCTCTCTGACTTCTGTCACTACGGGGAGAATCTCATCTCAAGTGCTCGCCACTGACGAGCTTTGTTCCTCCTGAAAGCGAGCCCCACGGGGACAGTAATGACCTTTATCTACAGAGGTGTGAGAAGTCTCTGAACCATGGGTGACTGGCTTCAACACAGTGGATGACAGATCCCTCAGCACTGAAACAGCAGCCACAGCTTAGTGAACCAGAGCTCTTAAAAACAGACATTAAGAAATACTCTGACATAATATAATAATAATAATTACATATACAGCAGGAGACTTCCCATGCTGAACTCCCATCTTAAACATTTAAACAGTGATCATCTGCAGCTTGTCTTCATGCTAAATGATGTCATGTGGATGTGGATAAAGGAATGGTTAAGGCAGGTTTGTCGTCTTTACAGCTTAGCTAAGCTATATGTCAAATGTTACGGCGTGTGATAGTTCACACCCTGAAGTCAAACATTCTGGACGAGTCTGTCAACAACCTTGGGAGTGAGACAGTGAACCTTACACTGTTTACTCAACACCTGTCACTGGTTAAAGAACAGGACTTTAATGTTAAATATCATGCAGAACAAAGCGAGGCACACTTGTGACTGATGTCATCCTCATCAGCAGGCTGAGTAGAGTTAAGACACTCTCATTGATGAGGAGTGGAAAAGCCTGCAGCAGATGTTCCAGTTATTGAAGCAAAAAACAGAAATCTATTGACGAATGACTGAAATAGGATTCAGAAAGTCTGTGGATGTGTGTGTGTAGACTTTGTTTCAACAACTTTTAAAGAACCTGTTGGATGACGGAGTCCTTCAGTGATGGAGCATAAGAGTCTGATGTGAGGAACCAATAACATGTTTAATAGTGAATGTCAAGAGGTGCAAAGAAAGTAGTTCTCATCTGTGACGACTATGCACCAATCCACTGATAGTAACCAGGAGGATGCTTTCTTAAAGGTGCCTTATTCTCCTCATGTTCACCTTTCATTTTGTCCGTCTGTGAAACCTACCGAGCAGCTCTGCAATTCCAATTTATCTTATTAGTGGTGTTTGTAAAAACCTAATTTCAGCTACTGTCTCTTTAAGGCCCCCCTCCCTACATACCCACTTTCTTCTTATTGGCCAGCTCTCTGAAAGCCTTCGGGGGGGGGGGGGGGGGGGGGCAGAATACTGCAGGGCTGCCAGGGAAGTAAGAGGTTACACCGGCTTACGTAGAGGCTTGAAGACATCTCGGGAAATTCTCGGTTTCATATGTCGTGATTTGCAGAACAAGCCGTTTAGCGCCCTCTGCAGACTTATCCTGGGATTACTCCAACATACGTTTACCTCATGATCTGAAACTTTGCCACGTTTAGTTTGAGCATCCAGCATTGTTACACTATTTGTGAGTTTTAAATTCTGCATGATAGGTCAACTTGCTGGATTCTGTTGCTCTGCCACATTCCCTGAATTGCCCCCCGGGGACAAATAAAGATTTTTGAATTTGAATTTGACACTGCAAGAGTATCACGAACTTACAGGACTGCTTCTTCTCTGCTAGACAAATTCAAGCATTGCGTTTCTGGATTTTATGATCTGGAAAATAATCTTCACAGTGATGCATTTTGAAAAACAAATGCGCTGATGACGATATATATCTGTGAGCGGCTGATATGGGCGGACAATATCGGCAAACCGTTAAATATCTGTCCGGCTTTATTGAACCAGAATTATGTAACATTGTGAGACTCAGACATCAGCAGCAGAACCTAAGATGACTTCTTTTTTTGTGATTTAACAAACTGTTCTTGGTTTACTTGGTCACAGAGGGTTGTGTCACACATTCAGATGTTTTATACTAAAGGGCTCGTGTAGTTCGAGTGTCTCGTTTCATATGACTTTTTCCACAGATGCATTCCTAACATGTGTAAACAGGGTCATATCTGAAAAGTCGGTGGACTTTCCTTTGAAGACAGATGATTCTCACACATCCACATGTTCTGTATCTTACCCCGTTGCATGCGCCGGCACGCTCCACCTTGCTGAGTCCGGACACATCGGTCTTAAAAACGTTCATCTTCTCCACCAAGGTAGTCAGAGCCGTCTCTGTGGCTTCACCCACCTTCTCGTAAACTCCTTTGGCCTATGAGAGAGACAGAAACATCAAGATATGCGGAGGGACTGCAGACCAGTGACACAGTTAGCATGCTAAGAGTGAAAGAGTCGTTAAATTCTCTGGGAAGATTCAGAGGAGAAGCAGCTTTAAACCTGTAAACCGTCTACTTTTGTTAAACATATACGACTCTCTTCAAAATGCCTCGTGAGCCAATCCGCAGGTTATTCACCTCAGCCTCTTCAAACGTTGAGTCACACATTCAAAGTGTTTTTTTTTTTTTTAAAGAGTTCGCCCTCGCCAGCTGAGATCTGGAGTGGGTGAGGTAAAGCGGTAATGACGTAGCACACATCATTTGTTTGTGTGACCGAGAAATGACATCAATAAAACACCTGGCTCCCTCCTCCTGCACTCTGCAGCTCTTCTAACTCTCACTCTCTCACTCCCAGTTCAGCACATTTCGATCCCACTCTAGGGCTCTTTACTTGAAAAACGTTCTAAATTGGTGACTAAACGACCGTTTAAGAGAGCAGAAAGGAAAAGAGAAGAGCCTCATCTTGGTCTCTTCCCCTCGGCGTGGTTACCATGATACCGGGGAGATGACAAAGAGGTGAAAAAAGCAATCCAAAGCAGAGAATAAGATCAAACTTTAGAGAGAAATTAGCTGCACTGATGAAGAGAAGAAAAAAAAAGCCCTTTGTGGTGTTTGTGTGTTTTGCAGTTCTACCTAACCACAGTCTTAAAGTGTCTCTATGCTGAACTATCAGTAAATACATGAGGACATCTGAAAAGTAACCTTATGTGAAACATACAGTATGTCTGCAGAGACTCTGTCCTCTGACTGGATTTTACTGATCTGGTTTGTTCTGGTTGACTCAGGAAGTTTCTGGGCGGAGCTGGTGTGTTTCCTCCAACCAATGACAGCACACAGGTGAGTTTAGGAGTGGATACAATTCAGCGATTGGACGCGATTCAAACCAGGAAATATGACCGACGTTGACTTAAAGAATTGCATTAAAGAAGAGAAAATATAATCATAGTGAGACGCAATGCCATGCGTATAAATCTCGAGGGTGGACCTTGTGTTGGCTTTCACTCGTGGACGTGGAGTTGGTCTGCTTCCTGTTGGGCAGGCAGGTGAACTCCACAGGCGGTTAGCTTGCAGTGTAGGTACAAGCAGTAAACGTACACACTACGTCCTGCAGTGAGGGTGAGCTTCTGGGGGCGATGAGCCCAGGAGGAGGGGCTTAGTTTGAATGTTGTGTTTAAAAACATTTCTACTGACTCCACCTTTAAACGTTAAATTAAAATACAAAAGATATGATTGCGGTTACATAAAGGCAGAGTTTGTTTCTTTTGACTGGCGTCCCTCTGGAACCCCAATTAACTACAGTCAGAAAACCATGATATGAAGTCTAATAAAACTAGAATAAAGCAGCAATTAGATATGACCAAAGGAATAATTCACGAGAGGCGGAAATGGACTTGAGCTTGTATAGCTCTTGTGACTACTCAAAGTGTGTTTACTCCGCAGGTCACACCTACACATCCTGCTGGTAGAGGCTGCTGTGTAAAGTGATCATCAGTATTAACTCATCACATTCATACGCCGCAGACGAAGCAGCGGGAGCAACTTGGGGTTAACCGCCTTGCCCAAGGACGCATCGGACATGTGGCTGCAGGAGCTGGGAATCGAACCCACGGCCTTACGGGAGAGAGACGACTGACTCTACCAACTGAGCCACAGCCACCCCAGGTGTCCAAGATTAAGCTTTAAAAATGTATCCATAAAATCATCCATTGAGAGCCTGTGTGTGTGTGTGTTAATGACCTCATTGTAGTCCAGTGAGGAGTCGTTGCACATAGAGCACACAGTGGCCAACTCCAAAAGTCCATCATAGTCACCACACTGGATGGGCCGGTCTCCTTTTAGTCTGGAAGGAAAATACACACAAACAAACACATATGTCACTCACAAACAGCAGCAACACACCAGGGAGAAACACTTCACAGTTCACTACACCTCAGATACAGTAACCCATCCATATGCATGAGCGTGGCAGACATTCAGTTGTTTAGCATTCAAAAGTTGAGAGAAGAAATAGTGCTTGTACAGTAGTAAACAGTGTGTGTGTGTGTGTGTGTGTGTGGGTGTGTATCTGTGTGTGTCCCTGACAAGCAGTTCTGACTGCATGACAACCATGGATCTCTTCCCAGTAGAGACTGCCTCGGTTGCTAGCGAGGCTCCCACACACTAACCCACACTCTGCTGTTATGAAATCGACAGGTTCGTGCAGAGTCACTCACTAAAAAAAAAAAACAACTAAATAAACAACATGTCTATGCAATGAACCCTCTCCTACCTGATGACTGGCCTCCTACCTTTAATCCTACACCATCGCATATTTACCGAGATAAAACAGAGGCAGCTGAAAGAACCTCAACATTCAAAGGTTGTTAAAATAGAGTTCACACTCCACTTCTAAACTTTCAGAACAAAGAAGGTGTGATGCACCAAAAATACAGAACAGCTGAGGCTAAATGGTTTATGATGGTACGTTATTGTTACTACAGAACCTATCTTTCTTCAAGTTAAAGGCAAGGGAATCATCAGAATTAAAAGGTCACATGATGCAAAATCCACTTCAACATGTTTCTCTAACACTAATGTGTCCCTAGTCCGTATTCAAACCCCCCAATGATGAGAAAAGTCCATCCTCTCCGTCTTTTGCCTGCTCCACTTTTCAGAAAATGTGTGCTCAAACAGGCCGAGATTTTCCCTTCATGACATCACAAAGGGCAGTAACCCCTCCCCCAGATGGGTGACACTCCCACAGCTAGGTGTTTGTTCTGCCCTCTGAGTCTGCCTTCTCAACGTAAACAATAGGACATGGAGCGAGAAAGACCGAGACACCCGAGCCCTTCCAGAGAGGGGGCGTGGTCAGACACAGCTCATTTACATATTTAAAGGGTACAGACACAGAAACAGCCTGTTCTGATCAGGGCTGAAATAGAGGGGTTTATAGGCATGATCAAATACATGATCAGAGTGGATTTAGAACAAGAAACTTCACACACATGTTTTGGGGAGCTCTGAGTGATCACTGAAAAGTGTACATGACAACATCTAGATAATAAATAGAATTCAAATAAATCAAATCAAATCGGTGGCCAGTATAAAATATAATGAGGTCATGAGGCGGACAGAACTTTGCAAAATATCAGTCATGCACTTTTAAACTGTGACACTCACACTTGTCCCTCGGGGGCATACGTAGAACCAGTTATAGAGAACTCATGAAGGGTGCAGTCGGAGTCCTCCACTTTGTCTGTGATGAACATCTGGAGAGGAGAAAATACAAACAGACAGAGGCAGAAAGGTGAGATAATGTGTCAATACAGTGCTTTACAGTGTACCTCTGACACCTAGTGTTTAAAATGGGGTACTGCAGTCTAAATTCTAAACATTATAGAGAGCTGTCTCCCCCCGCCCCCTCCTCTCTAGAGTTGATGCTCACGCAGGTTGCCATGTGGTGAACACTGAAGCTTCAGTGTTTATCCAGCTCTGCATCGGTCTGTAAACCTTTCTGTGTTCTAACCTCTCTCCATTTTTCAAAAGCATCTCCAATATTGATCCTAGTTTGAGCACGTTTCTGCTCGTGGAGCTTATTAGAAACATGCAGAGGCTTTTTAGGTCGAGTACAATCACTTCTATCTGAACCACTTCTCTTGCCCGCTTCCATCGCTGCAACACCTGTTGACCTGATAACTGCTCTCATATCTGGCAAACAGAGGGGCATCCAAAACGGCCGTGTGGGGGTGTCTTAAAACCGCCTACCTTCTCTGGTCCAAACAAATCCAGAGCATTCAGGACCAGAATCTAAAGTTAGAAGGAGGACATACTGGCTGCTGCATTGTTGTCAGAGAAACCAGCACTTCAAACTAGCATGTTTCTTTCCATTATCTTTTACCACTTTTTCCCGTTTGGGGTTGCAGGGGGGCTGGAGCTGATCCCCCCAGAGGACCTAATCGGGCAAGAATGTATAACGCTGCAAAAATTAAACTTTTCATTTGTAAAAGAAAGAGTGTTTATTTTTAAGCTAAACACCTTTCATGTTATTCAAACTGTTCCTAATGAGCAGCTCTGCAGTGTGGGCACACCCTTGAGTTAGTGTGTACACACAGGTAATAAAACACCTTTGTTATCACAGTATGTCATCCTGGATTTGTAGTAGAAATGTTTGTTCTTCAACAGTCACATTTCCTGCCACGGTAGTGTCAGCTGAACCTCACACCTATACAGTAGCTCCATGGTGTCAGAGTCCCTTTAAACAAAGAGTCAAGGCTGCATCGTGTCAGTGTTCAGGAGCAAAACACAGCTAACAGAAGCCCAATGATTTTCCACGTTCTTTTGAACTTGTTTAGCATAAATTAAAGGCTGGGGGGCATTGATAAAATCAAGAAGAAGCTGTAAACAAAGTACTGCACAAGCTGAAATCTGGTCACTGGAGAGGTTGAGTTCAAACAGCCACAAAGAGTCAAGAAATCCCCTCTCACTATCAGTTTGTGCAGCACTATTATGCCTCTTTCTCTGAGTTTCTAAACACGCAGGCGACATGGGAGTTGCTCTGCTTACATGTCTGGATGTAAGGCTTCATCAGTTACTCAAACTGCCACACACGCTCCATTAAACCGCTGCAAAACAAAGAACGAGTCAGAGAGAGTTTGCGAGGGAGCCGGAGTCCCAGAGCTGTCCAAGGATCTGCTTTGTTGGCAAATCTTATTCCTGAAATTCCCCACAGGGAGGCAGCTTCACGATGCACTGCTAATACTAATTTATTGATAAAAAAAAAAAAAACAAGGAGGGAGTGTGGAGGCTGGTGGTTCATAAGAATGAGATCCACTACTATTCCACAAAGGCGTCGAACACAGAGTAAAGTTCAGAATGAAGCAGAAACAAACATGCAGAGGTGAAACACCCCTGTAACTGATTCCAACTCTATTTGAGACTCAACTCATTCAGACAGATTGAAGATTTAATGAAGCCGCTGTCTGGTTAAACTCATGTTGATTCTCCTGTCGGTGTCTTTGTTTGCCGACTAACCTCTCATTTAAAACAGACAATGAGTGGCAGACTGCAGACGAGACAAAGCTTTTGTACCTCTCGTTCAAAGGTACAGTTTAGCCTTTGAACAGAGAAATTATTTCTTAAAAACAAGTCTAGTCTGCACAAGATGAAGAAGTTAAAAACAAATGTTCTCACCAGAGAAGGAGATTACCACAAGGGCCCGACCGACACAGAGTCTTTGGGGCCTCAGCTTAACCTCTTTGTCTGTTCCTAGACGAGTCAAAGTTGGATGGAGATACCATTTACAAATTGCCGACAACCACCACTGGCTTTCATAACTCCTCTTCAGAAACCAATGGGTGACATCACTGAGACTACGTCCATGTTTTATGCAGTCTTTGGAGACACCATGTGCTTTAGATTTGCACAGCTTTGCACAAGGAATTTAGAAGAAAGGAGTCATCAATACAACCAAACATTGTTCTGTAGCTCACCTGGTAAATACACTCAAGCTTGTACAGAGCCTGTCTAGTCTTCTGACTACTCAGAGTGCTTTTTACACCGCAGGTCACACCTACACATTCACACGCTGATGGCAGAGGCTGCTATGTAAAGAGTCAATCAGAAGTAAGACACACCAGCAGAGCTGCCTTAGGTCACAAGACTAGCACTGATACCAACAGCAAAGTAGTTTCAAAAACAACTTTTTATAACTCAATATTTTTGCAGATATTATGCTTGAAGAAATGTGTGTGGTTAAGGAAAATGCAATTAAATGCAATTTCATCATAATTGAGTATTTGCATCACACACCTCGCCCAAGTCCAAATTAAAGCAAGGTTGGTCATTTTTGAAAACTAGCATGATTTTGAAAGTAGCATTCCCTCAGTGCTTCATCTGCACCCCCTCCCCTCTGTGCTCCCTCAAAAGCCACGCCCCTCACTTACATGCACAAGCGCCATTGGTCCAGAAGTGGACCTGTGATTGGTTCATCAGATTGGTACCTCGAGGCAGACATTGGTTGAAGATTTTACAGGCTTACAACTGCTACAGATGACGGATTTACTTGGTTCCTTTTTCAGAGCACATGAATTATTAATTTCTGTCAGGACAACTTCAACCAAAATCTTAAAAAGTGGATCCGGAGGAAATGAGCAACCCTGCCTTTAACCGCGATAAAAACTGTTATTTCAAGTCAATTAGCAATGTCTTTTTTCACTCAGCATTCGGGTATTTCACCTTTTGATGGAGGCCTAGTTATGACGTCGATACTTTCACACCCTTGTGATGCAGTCACATGAAGCACAAGCACCTAAGAGGTTCAAATCTATCGTGTTATAAGAAGTGCTTCTTGGATTTATGTTGGATTCAGCAGGGATGAGTTGTAAACACGTGTGTAGTTAAACAAGAAACACAGAGTGATAGCAAATATTCTCTCATCTTGACATCATAAAAGCTTCACTAAATATTCTTCTAAAATGTACGACACTGTTCCCTTTGGACAGTTTTTGGACAGCAGATCATTTTTTTTTACCTTTACATCCTTTAGACCAAGAGTTGCATGAAACATTCTGCAAACCTCCTCCTACCTCTCTCAGCTAGATAACAACCTTTACTACTTCCTCCTCACACTCTTAGCATGATGTAAAAAGCCAAATTATTCACCGATTTGTTATCAAAACCATGTGAGAAAGTTTGGCTGCAGTGAACACAAACACACCAGCTGCTCTTGTGTCCTGCTTCAAAAACCAAAGAGGGTTCACGTTGTATCAAAGCGCACTTACTTTAACCAACAGCAAACATGGAAAACAAAGTCAAACATGACTTATTTTAAGCCCTGCATTAGGGATGAGTTGGCCATTCAGATTGTAAACTTTATGTCAGCCCTGTAATAATCTTGGTCAACCAATTCCTCGTTGAAATTCTGGATGTACTGTCCCTTTAAGGAGTTTCTGCTCGATTCTTAATTACTGCAAGGTCATCATGCTTGTTCACTTTGTTTCCATTCTTCTTGACTTAAATCTATAGTAACATCTAAGGGAGCCAATAACTTTCACTAGAACACAGACACAGACACACACAGACAGACACACACACACAGACAGACACACACACACAGCGAGGCTGAGAGAGACTAAATAAGGATTCTTTCATCTGAGGTCACTTTTTCTCTCTCTTTCTAATCCTCTGCAGTCTCCAAGGAAACAAGGCACAGTGTGATCCATGTGAGTGAGCCGTAGTGGAACAAGTTTGTATTCTTACACTCATTTCCCTTTGAGCTTACGTGGGGATTAATGAGGAGTAACCCTCTTAATGTGTGCATGTCTATTCGTGTTTGCCAGTGTTTGTGAAGGGCAAAAGGGGGAAGTGCAGAGTCACTGTCAGCAGGATACAGAGGGGGGAATCCTTGGAAATCCTGTGGATATGGGACAAACCCCTGAGTCAGGGGAGACACATGGAGCAGGACCAGGAATAAGCACAGGTGGACACGCCTGGGTAAACACTCATGTGGCCGATTGAAACCTTTACACACATATAACCAATAAAAGAAAGAGCACAACGGCAGCGTGAAGAGTTAAGCAACAACCAAAATTACTATCTCCAGGAAACACCCTGCTGAAAAAAAACGCAAAGCGGAAGTTCGATTTTCTCCGTGCGAGTGTGTATTTGCAGCCTTATCTCCCTCCAGAGAGCCGAGGGCAGCCTGCCAGGGCACAAAGAGGGAAGCAGAAGGTCAATATTTACCCGCGTCAGCCCGCCTCGCTCTTTTTCTGTCTGAGAGGATTTCAGGGTTGCAGTGAGATCACTGCTCCGTGTCCCTCCTGCTGCAAGGAAGTCCCTGCTGCTATGCAGTAATCAACACACACGCGCACACACACACGCAACAAGTCATCTCAGCGTTTACTTCACACACACATAATACAAGTGTGCTGTGCAGGGAATGCACCATCCTCTGATTCTAAGTCTGTTTTGAAACAGCAACTAATTTTAAAAAAATGGTAGACAAAGAGAAAGAGAAAAGGCAGAGTTATTTATTTCTCCCTTTTTCCCTTCATGACATCACAAAGAGCAGTAGCCCCTCCCCCAGGTGGGTGACACTCCCACAGCTAGGTGTTTGTTCTGCCCTCTGAGTCTGCCTTCTCAACGTAAACAATAGGACATGGAGAGAGATAGCCCGAGCCACCCGAGCCCTTCCAGAGAGGGGGCGTGGTCAGACACAGCTCATTTACATTTAAAGGTACAGACACAGAAACAGCCTGTTCTGAGCAGGGCTGAAATAGAGGGGTTTAAATAGAGGAGCTCTAAGACTTATTTACACTGGTTGAAGAGGAGGAGAATATGGGATCTCTAAATAAATTCAGTGTTCAGGGAGTTTTTTTGTGTCTAATCGGGTCCTTGTCATAGACTAGTAAGGACCTGTATCTTCGCCTTTTTACGAAACGATCAACTCGAGCACCTTCTAGATCCCTCCTCTGCTATGATAAAACATAACTGAAAGTTAGTAGATCCTAATAGCCCTGAATCGTCTCTCATCACGGTTTCACATTCTTAATGAATGAATGAGCTGCCAACAGCTCGCTCACAGAAGTGTTGTCTGTGCTTTGCTTCAGAGCTGGCCTGTTCATACCTGCGGCACCTGTGAGATCATTAGCTGAGGTGAGAGGTGAGGCGGAGGATGTAAGGACAAGAGGTGTTAACTGATTAGGAGTGTGTGTGTGTGTGTGTGTGTGTGTAAAGCCTTCCTTTTAAACAGGAGCCAAGACAAACAGCAGCTCTGGCATTTACTCTGTGCTTGGAGAAAAGGCTCCTGGTAAGCAACACCAACACACTCATACTCATGAAAGGTAAAGTGAGGGTAATTACTGGAGAAATACTCGTGAATAGTTGTGGTTAACATGTGTTGTCGGCCAAGTTAAATACAATATACTGTAAAGGCTGTTTATGCACTAAAACCTGCAGGATAGTTATGAATATGACTCACTGTCAGTGTTTCCCACACCTAGAAAAAATACTCTGCAGGCTGCCAAGGTCAATTTGCTCACTAATTTCAGCATTATTATTTAAATTGTTCATATTCTCCGACATGTTCACCTCTCATGTCGTCCGTCTGTGAAACTGCATGATTTGCATCTCAAAAAACTCCCAGGAATAAAACTAAATATCTAGATAACTTCAGGAAGACTGCTCCTGTGATTCAGCTGACCAGGCTGTTCACACATCCACCTCACAGTTGGAGAATATTTGGCTTCACATTTGTACAGCAGGAGGAGATGGAGATGCATCATCCATCTTTGTGGTCAATGTAAGACACTAATGCCTGGTACACTCTACACGATTCTTAAAATCTTAAACGATTTTGATAATGTGAGAGACCCCACACATGACAACAATCCTGTCCGATTAACAGTTTAGTTTTATAGTGTGTGGTGTGCAACGAGACGATCAACTCAGCACACCACACACTAACCGATTCATTCACTGATAACCAGAGTCTCGACTATCACAACGTGTAATGTCACGCGGTCAGACGGGATTGAAGAGTAAACAAACATGACGGGCAAGCTAAATGTGGCTAGCTGTCAGCTGGTACATCCATTACTGTAAACATTTTGGTCAAACTCCTTTCCTTGTCAGTTGGATTGTGGTTTGTTTTACAGGACACGTTGTAATATAACTCGTGCTGCTGCCACAAATCAACAAGTTGGTCCTGAATTCATGACATCCATTTAACTTTGTGCTTTGCCATGGTAATGTTTGTTGTGCTTCCGGCTTCAGCCAGCTTGCTTCCCTATTGGCTATTTTTCCGTTCCACGTGACAATTCACAGAGTCCGTGCTCGGCCGTCTTCGGAGTTCTCCCCACACCTCAGGATTTCTGATCGGAAATGTTGAACACGTTTAATATTTATGATTTCAAATCGGGGCGGCCCCAATCGTCTTCCGAGCAGATCGGGGAGGTTAAAATCACTCTTAAACACACCTCACATCACAGGAGAATCTGGAAAGATATCGGGCCTTTGCTGACTTTGGTCGGAAAGGGGGGAATCGGGCCCAAAATGGGATATCTTGTAGTGCGTACCCCGCTTATGAGAGAGACGAAGCTCTGCTGTACCCGGAATATGAAGGCACTGACTGAGGCACAGTAAAGACGTAGTGATGCTCTTCTTTTAAAGGCAAGTTTAGTTTGTTGAGTGTGTATGTGTGGATCAGAGGAGATTATAGAAGATAAAGATGACTCTATTGAAGCAGTTATAAACAAACAACCTACAGCTGATGCCAAGGCGATCTTCAAGTAATAGATGAGATGAGATTTATTTTTCATGACCTTTGAAACATCACCAAAGAGGCGCTGTTACACTGATGGCCACAGGTTTGTGGACTGCAATTTTTTATTTTTTTGCAGAAGAGTTGCCGGGGATTAACAAGCTAGCTACATGTGCTCCGACGCAACATTGTTTTAATTTCTCTTCACTGTGACCTTGCTCGAACAAGCTAATGCTAAGCTAAGCTAGTGACTTTGTGATACTAAGTGAAGAAGAAAGGACATCACAAGCAAAGCTCCTCTGACCCAGAAGCCGCTGTGGACGGGGTCTCGAAGTGCCCAATGTTAAGGTCCAATCAAAATGAGGAAATAAGAAACAAAATACTATTAATATGGCACAACGTCATTCTGTGTGGAACACTGACTGCATTGTGTTCACTCAGGCGATATGACATTTTGGAAACCTTCCCGTGTTTGTGTGAGCTGATCTGGTCCCCTGATATCGCTGTGGGTGCTGCTGGGTCATGTCAGCCTGCTTTACTCCACCAGCAGCTTCCTCAAACCTGCCACACTGAGGTGAACATTACAACAGAGGAAGGATTTTACACTCCTCTATGAGCCCCACTTCAACTTAGAACTTTAACTTATCTGGTATCATTTTCTGAGCCGGTTCAGCTTTTTAAACTTCAAAGGAGTGCAATAAAGTGTCGGCTGTTCCTGGTTTGCACTTACTCTGCAGACGGACATCTGGTTGGTGGTGAGGGTCCCCGTCTTGTCAGAGCAGATGACAGACGTGCAGCCCAGGGTCTCCACTGACGGCAGACTGCGAATGATGGCGTTCTTCTTGGCCATGCGTCGAGTCCCGAGGGCCAGGCAGGTGGTGATGACGGCGGGCAGCCCCTCTGGGATGGCGGCCACGGCTAATGCCACGGCGATCTTGAAGTAATAGATCGCTCCTCTGACCCAGGAGCCGCCGTGGACGGGGTCTCCGAAGTGCCCGATGTTGATCACCCACACAGCCACGCAGATCAGAGAGATGACCTTTGAGAGCTGCTGGCCGAACTCGTCCAGCTTCTGCTGCAGCGGTGTCTTCTCCTGTTCTGTGGCGGCCATCTGGTTACGGATTTTACCGATCTCTGTGGAGACGCCGGTAGCGACGACAATCCCTATAGCTCGGCCTGCGGCGATGTTTGTGCCCTGAGAGGAAACGGAAGAGAGAGAGAGAGAATTGAGTGCCGGGATGTGAGGAAGAAAATGAAAAACACAAATTCTTTATTAGAGAAAATGTACATCTCTGGCAGAACTACCACATAAAGTGACTTTTCTGACAATTGCAGGAACTGTTTAAGTGTCCTAATCAAATCCTGGTATAAATCATTCATTGTGAGGCTCATCAGGTGCTCAGTGATCGTGTAACTTCAAGGTTTGGAAACAACAGACTGAAAAAGCAATCTGATCATACTTCTCCTAAAAACAGACTTTTGCACCAAAGGACATGAAGATAATTCAGATCTCTGTCACTAAGCATCAAGATACAGTCATGATGTTCACTGTACTTTACACTAGTGACTCTCAACTGGTGGTTCAGGACCCAAAAGTGGGTCGCGGAGCCGTTTTCAGTGGGTAACAAAGATGTGCCTGTGTCAGAAAGTCCAAGAAGCTCTTTTCAAACATGTTTGTTTAGTTCTGTTTCTTTAGAAATTTCCAGGAGTGCCTGTGTGAAAACGGCTATGGAGTGCTTTTTGTTGTGTGTTTGTTATTTGTGTTATTGCAGCTTAATTGTTTTAAAGTCTTTATTCATACTAAAGTCATGTTTTGGTTCCATCTCTAGTGTCTTCGATATTCATTTTTCTGTATTTTAAAAAAGGTCCATATGGTGAAGGTCACTGCAAACGGTCTAAGGCTTTAAACGCTGTGGTGGTTTGGCTTCAGACTACGAGCTTCATACTGGCCCCCGGTGCAAACAAACATGAAATAAATAAAGAGTAGATACGTGTGAGTCAGCCAGCTCCAGGGAGAAACACTTACAGAAAAGAGCATGTTCTTCTTGTCCTGGTTGACGGCTCTGGGGTCAGGAACAGGGTCAGTGTGTTTGATGACGGACACAGACTCCCCTAAAGGAAAGAGTGTACCAGACAAGTCAGCGAGATTAGATCTGCCAGAGCGACAGGTGATTATTTGACCAACAATGGGATTTCTCAGCAGTGACTAAGCTGAACGAAGTTCACACTCGCAGCATAAAGGGTAGAGGATCACAGAGACTAAACCTGATGTCTTTTAGGTTCATGCAATAAAAGAAGCAGCGAGCAAACTGTGTCTGGATTATGTGAAAGTCTGTTAGTGTCCGATGTGAGACGAGACGTACCTGTGAGGATGGACTGGTCTACACGCAGCGTGGTGGACTTTATAGAGGTCACTCTGATGTCAGCGGGCACCTTGTCACCAACTAACAAACAAACACAACAACAAATTAAGACACAATGACAATAGACTCACAAAATCAACAAAGTCAGCTAAGTGACACTGTAACATCCACCGCCCGACAGATATGAGATTAGTGGGGCCGATACTGATAGATCTGTAGAGATAGACAGATATAAACATTTATTGTGTTGATCCCCCAAAGTCAGTTATCAAACACTTAAAAAATATTTATAATGAAGACAAGATGATCACTAAACTGGAAAGTAACTGAGCATGTATGTGCATCACCGCTTGACACTCTGGAGAGTGATGATGCCTGTTGTAATCCTTATAGCGCCCTCTGCTGGTGAAAGAGAACTGCGAGTGTAATACAATAAAACACAAATGAAAATGCTTTTTGACCGGTGAATAAATCTAGTCATTTCGGCGCATATCTGTGATAAAATTAGCTGATACCGATAGACACTTGATATGCTAATATCGGCCGATATGATCACAGTTGGTCTCTAGTTTTAAGGCATGGTGGTGGCTACATGGGTTAGCAGAGGTAAAGTAAGCAGGACAGCGAGGAGGACAAGACAGCGTAAATAAGTTTTCCAATGAAAGTCTTGTGCTTATAAGTGTAGCTGCTGGTGATCAGTGGTTTTACACCCACCACTGAATACGTGTTCAAACAATAACAGAGCTCATACTTCAGCTGCAGGTAAACAAGAGCTTGATATAACCTCAGAGTCACATTCCTTTCTAAAAAATAATCGATAACTTCCTCTCCCTTTAGCTTCCTCTTCACTTTCTGCAGCTCTCAGTGTTCCTCCGATACACCACGACTTGCTCTATGTGCAGTACGTCAGACTTACAGATTCATCCAGCATTACATCTACAACACATAGTTTATCTTCTCCACCAGAGCCCACGAGTTATCAAGACCTGCATATTAAACTCATGTATCATAACCAGGGCATTTATAGTATCTAACGCCCCAAAACAAAATGGTTATTGCTTCCTCTTTGTCAAAGCCTGACATTGAACTGAGCCAGAGCCAGATTGAGAAAAACGGGATATTATGATGTAGTAGCATCAGTGGGGCATCCTGGACGCCTCCCTTTGGAGGTTTTCCAAGCACACCCAACTGGGAGGAGATCCTGGGGAAGACCCAGAGTTTGCTGGAGGGATTATAAACCCGTCTGAACTGGAAACGCCTCGGAATCCCCCAGGAGGAGCTGGATAACGCTGCTGGGGAGAGGGACGTCTGGGTTGATTTACTTCACCTACTGCCATCGTGACCCTTCCTCAGATAAGCGGAAGAAATGGATGGATGGATGTGATGAATGGATTGATGGATGTGATGGATGGATGTGATGGATGGATGTGATGGATGGATGGATTGATGGATGTGATGGATGGATGTGATGGATGGATGTGATGGATGAATGGATTGATGGATGTGATGGATGGATGTGATGGATGGATGGATGTGATAGTTGTGATGGATAGATGTGATGAATGGATGGATGGATGTGACGGATGGATGGGATGGATGGATGGATGTGATAAATGGATGGATGTGATAAATGGATGTATGGATGGATGGATGTGATAAATGGATGGATGGATGTGATAAATGGATGGATGGATGTGATAAATGGATGGATGGATGGATGGATGTGATAAATGGATGGATGTGATAAATGGATGGATGGATGTAATAAATGGATGGATGGATAGATGTGATAAATGGATGGATGGATGGATGTGATAAATGGATGGATGGATGGATGGATGTGATAAATGGATGGATGGATGGATGGATGTGATAAATGGATGGATGGATGGATGTGATAAATGGATGGATGGATGGATGTGATAAATGGATGGATGGATGGATGTGATAAATGGATGGATGGATGGATGTGATAAATGGATGGATGGATGTAATAAATGGATGGATGGATGTGATAAATGGATGGATGGATGTAATAAATGGATGGATGGATGGATGTGATAAATGGATGGATGAATGTAATAAATGGATGGACGGATAGATGGATGTGATAAATGGATGGATGGATGGATGTGATAAATAGATGGATGGATGGATGGATGGATGTGATAAATGGATGGATGGATGGATGTGATAAATAAATAAACTTGTCAAAATGGTTTCTTGCTGGTAAGTTGAAGTGTTCACTTTGGATCATTTCACTCATACTCTGAGACGAGAGAGGCTTTTTTTCCATTCCTGACAGGACAGAAATAGTGTAAAAAGGGAGAAGAAGAAATGAAGAGTCTGCGGTATTCAGCTAAATAGCCTCGACTTCCGTGTCTGCATTTCTCTCCATTTTCTGCGTCTGACACCCATGGGCTGTTAAGAGAACAGGAGTGGGAGAGGCGGAGGGGGAGAGAAGTGTGTGTGATGTGTTTGTGTGGGAGACGGCAGGGGGCTACAGGTTCACTGTAGCAGGACTGGCCGAGGACAGAAAAGACAGGATTTTCAAAACGCCTACCCACAGACTCCTGCTCCCCGAACCAGCCTCCCACAGAAACTCTCCATCTGCTGGAAGGGAATATTTAATTCTAATGTAGACACGCAGAGTGCAGATACCCAGGACTTTGAATATTTGTCTGACTATTATCCAGACTTCGTTTGAAAATTCAAAAGGCAAGAAATAATTACAAGAAGTCAGGAATACGTTTTGAAGAGAGAACGTTAATGTTTGATTAGAATTAATGAGGAGATCAGCTGCTTTGGCGAGCTACACTTCTCCTTCCATTTGGTCAAAATGGGCTTGAATCAGAATCTTAATGTGTTGCATAATATCCTGGCAATGAGGTCTCCCTTCACATGCAGGATAACCGTGACTTGTTCCCAGTGAATATTTGGGTGCAGGTTTCCATCTCTTCAGGTCCTGACAACCCGACCGCTGCAGTCACTCCATCTAACAAACCCAGGAAAGTTCCAGCGGAGGCCCAAAATCACAACTGTGTCGTAACCATGCCTGGCATCACCGGGACTGGACCAACAAGAAGGAGGCAGAGGCAGAGGCAGCGGCGGCGGTGGTAGTGGTGGAAACTCGAGTAAATACATTTATGTTCTTTTCTCTCCTCCAAAGCACTTGTGGTCAGCAGTGTCCTTTTCCGATACCTCCACACAGCCTCCAGTTCCCATGGAACAACCGGCAGCTAATCTGCTCTACAGGAAAGCCCAGAAAAAAATCACTGCAGGGAAGGAAAATATTGACGTGTTTTCTTTGTCACCGTACACCTCAAATGTTTCAGTCAGAGGAGGGTGTGTGTGAAGATCCCTGACACACGCTCTCTGAGTGAGAGGAGTGTGTGTGGTACGGTCAGTGCCCACCTCAGCTGTTTACTCATGTTTGAAACTGCTTAGCAACGAGATTATGTCAGAAAGGACGAAGCAGCTAATACATGACTGTGTGTATTTGAGAAGAACAGCAGCAGTGTGCAGGACGGCACCGGGATAACTCTTCTTCATTTGACAGTCAGTGCGGTCTGTACTTCAAACAAGCTGGAAATCCAGTTTACTAATGCCTCGATTTCAGCTCAGACTTTCCCACTTACGTCCACATGCAGACATCTCCGCTGGCTGTGAAAGAAATGCTCCCACTTTGGACACCATATATGGTTGTTGAGGGCAGTGATGAAGTGCGATCAGAAGAAATGGCATAACACAAACAAGAATCTAAATCACAGGTTCCTAACCTCGACTGTAAATATCACTGGACAAAGCCTGGGTGACGTCACCCAGCTGTTCCCGCAGGGGAGCTCTGGAGTCCCATCTATGGCGGTCTCCATGCTGTCTCCGCCTAACTTTCAGTCAGTTTAACTTTCAGTCAACCTAACGACAGGTTGAGAGCTGGAGCTGAGGCTTGTATATAGCCTTCTTCTGTGGTTGACAAACTACCTGCAGCTCCCAGCAGCAGCAGCGACATCACAAGCTCTTCTTCAAACTATCTTATCTGACTCTGCTCTGCACGGTCATCATCTCCTCATGAACTGCATCGTCACGGAAACGAACTGAACGGAGCATGCAGCGTTGTCATGGTAACACTGTTGGTATTGACAGTGACGATGGTGGTGGTAGGTGGGGGTGGGGGTGGGGGGGTTTGTAGAGTACTTTTGGTTCTTTCCACCTGTGTGGGCTTGTCTGAGTCTGGCAGAGGTGTGTACACATGTGTGAATGAGGACACCGGCTGAAACAAGCCCGAATTCCAAAGAAGAGCTACCTGTCATATTAACAGACACACACAACACTACACACTCACACACACACGCACACACATACACACAATGTAAAAAACGTATTTGCCGCAACATTTTAAGGGAAATCAAAAGTAAACTTGGAACTTGAAATCAGGCTGTGCATAAACCAAATGACGATTAAGAGTACAGTAGGAGCTGCAAGTCATTAACGAACCGATGCTGCTTTCAAGTCAAGGTGAAAGTTCATGAACTTCATCCCAGTGCTTTTGAAAAGCTGATCCTCATTTATTACTGTATATAAACAAGTATTAACTTCATTAACTGATTGTGATGAGAATAGTACCGATATCTCATAGACAACGCATTTTCAGGTTTTCCTTCAAATGGTGTCGGCTGCTCTTGTCATTTTCTTATGGACAGATTGTACATGATGCTCTTTGTGAGTTATGTTAAGTTAGTGCTTGGACTGGAAGCTCTGAGCATCTCTAGGCGGCTGCTACTGTTGACCTTAGCAGCACAAGCTGAACAAAGTAGTTAGACGAGGAAGTGCATCCAGTTAATTTCAAAATAAAACCCCTGATCGTGTGTGCAGCTGCTCATGGCTGCGCTCCGGCTACAAAGACAGACCCAGTGGTGCAGGGCCACCGTAGGACGGAGTAAAACAGTGGCGCTGGTGGAGCTATGTGGAAATTCCATGTGAGCAGTGGTCCGTCAAAAATCACTATTTTATACTTATTTTATTTCCTCCCTACTATGGTCGGCAGGTTGAGCTTATGGTGTCGCTTCATGTGTGACCTACAAACAAATGTGTACTTAAACCGGTGGTCACAGCATGTCGTTGCAGAACATAATACCCATGCAGGTATTGATTTACAGTTTAACACCTCTAACATACTCATGAGGTGAACAATGAAAGTGCTATTTAAGTTGAAGCACTAGCTGCCATGGTGAAAGATGACGTGTTACCACTAAGCCTTGTCCAGCTTGTCCTTTTAAAAAAAAAAACGACACTTTTATCAAAAATCCGTTGAAACACCGGCAGAAGTTGTACTTTAAGGAGCACTGGTGTGAGGAGCCCTCAGTGACGGTTATTTGGATGAATGATCCAATTTCCATTTTTGAACCCTTGAGCTAAAATCGAAACGCGCCGAGGCTTCACTGTAACCACCGAGGCATGGATAATCCCTCTCCTTCATTCTGCATGCGGTGGTTATGAATGAGCGCTGTGATTTCCCCACCTTCCCCGCAACATCACTCGCAGCCATCCAAAGTCAAATCACAAACCACGTGCAGCCGAGGATTACACTCTATAAAGGCATGTTAACCGTGAAGTGATCTCCTTGGTTTCATGGCACACAGATGCTCTGGAACCACAGTGACAACAAGGCTATTTTTAGACCAAGCTGCCCACACATGGGCGAGTGTACAGCGGGAGGATTGTGTGTGTGTGTGTGTGTGCGTGTGTGTGTGTGTAACATAGGGGAGTGTGAGTGAGGAGCTGACAAACATCCAGCAGCGTCCAGGTGGTGGGACTGAGAGCATGGAAAGCAGAGGGAAATGGGGGGAAAGCTGCGGAAAATTAAACTGGGCTTTAAATACGAGTGGTGACCACAGCCACTTACACAGACACAGACACAGACACAGACACACACACACACACACACACAGCTCTGGCACCTGCCCATCCAGGGGAAAGACTCTTATGTAATCCAGTCAGAGATATTCCAACCGTGTTTCCAGACTCATGAATGGGTGGCAGAGGCTGAGTGAGGGAGCGTGTGTTTCTGAGAGTGTCGGGGAGTCCTCTGAAGGTAGACGAGTCATAAATTAGTCCCAGTGAGTGACGGCGTAGAGTTTGGCCCGGGAGCTTACCTGCCACCTCCACTACGTCCCCGGGGACGATGTCTCTGGCTTTGATCCTCTGGACGGCTTTGCGGTTCATGCGGTACACCTTCCCCATCTCTGGCTCGTACTCCTTCAGAGCCTCGATGGCGTTCTCAGCATTTCTCTCCTGATGTGACAAAGTGAAAGTTATGCCAAGGACAGTTTAAAGAATCTCTAGGTTAATTGATGTTTAACAGCAACTTAAGTGTTATCTCTTGCATTAAAAGGTTATTTGGTGTTCTGAGGTCATAAAAACACGTAGACAGCAAACAGAAAGAGCCTCTTTCAGAACTCATCACATTTATCCTTTGCGTATCCAGAGTGTGTAGAAAGTATAAATGTTATTTCATACCCTCACTCTTCACACAAACTCGTCCAGAATCAGAAAACACAAACTAATATCTCTGCAGAGGTTCAAAACATGTACACACAGAGTATTCCTTATTTCATTTCTTTGATAGAGCTTCCCCACTTAAAGAAATCTCCTGATATTTCCGTGCTGAGCGTCATGTGTGAACACAACCAGCTGAATGTTTCTCTCTTCACCCGGAGTTTCTCCTCCAGCCTCCTCGTATTTATTCTGCAGAAAGTCAGAGTGAGCTGATGTGAGAACGCAGCAGGATATAATCAGGAGAATTCACCTGGAGCGAGTGGGAGGGGGTGGTGATGTTTATTCCCTGTGATCGCTGCACGACCATAGACTGTCTGCACGCCATGGTCTGCTACTTCCACGTCTTTTCTTTGCGTCATGTCTCCCCTCGGGACACAAAGACTGAAGAGCTCACTTCTTAAGGCCTAGTTCCATTGCAGCATTTTATTCGGCTATACAGATGTTGAATAGAGCATGGATAACCAGACACTAAAAGGTGAATCTCTGTTCCCTCTATCACCTGGAGTACAGGCTAGTCCTTTGTTAAATGTACAGTACGCTCAGGCCGTCATTAGCCTCGCTAAGCGTGTAAACACTGGTGTTGAAAGAGACATTGTTACTCCTGAGTTTACTATTTACACAGAGAGACAGGATGACAGGTGTTTCTCACCTGCCACACTCCGATAACAGCGTTGGCGATGAGGATAAGTAGAATGACAAGAGGCTCAACGAAGGCTGTGGTCGTCTCCTCTCCCTCCTCAAACAGAGCCAACACCTAAGAGACATAAAGAACACAGAAAACTCAGCAGACATTTAAACTGTGGTGGATCAAATCAACACAGCGTCACGATCCAACTTCTCTGAAACCTGTTCAGGACAAATTAGAAACAGAGCTTGTGTGTTATTGGACAGAAAAGCTGCAGCTTAGTCTGTGTGTGTGTGTGTTAACCATAGCAGTGTTTCCCCTACCATTATATTGATTTAGAAAATGGTCAGGTTAGACTGGCATACTGGCCGGAGTGATTACAGTAACTGACCACATCCAGAGGCTGCTGGTGCCAACAATAATAACAGAAATACATCTTTAAAAACCTTTAATGTTCTTTCATAAGGACAGGCCTCAATGACACATGCTCTTCTGTTGCTATAATTTATTCACTCCTCTATAACCATACAGTAAATATCACGTGAGGACAGCTGAGTTGTAATGGATTCTGAGAAGGCATCTGCTTGATCTACTACAAATAACATCCTCGGGCGATCCTAACAGGAAACAATCCACTCTGCAAGACAGAAAATGACTCCATACTCTGTTTGTGAAAGGAAAAGAACAAGAAAGTAAAGTTACATCACAACAAAAGCATCAGAGAGAGAGAGAGACAGAGAGAGAGAGAGAGAGAGAGAGAGGTAGAGATAATGTGATGGGGCTTATCAAATGATAAAAGAGTACATTCTCTGCAGAGTATTGAGCAGAGGAGAGAGGACGTCACGCAGCCTGAGCCTGGTCGATAGCTCATCATTCCACATCATTTGGGACGCTAAATCTCCCGCTCCGACTGAGCTGAGGGCAACAAAGGCAGGCCTCTGAGCGAGGGCCGTTCTGAAGACTCGTCCTTTAGAGAGGGGGCTTCAATATCCAACTCCTACTCTCACACTGAATGGGAGTTTAAATCGAGAATTTCTTTTCGCTTTTGCAAGACATCATAGACGAGGAAATCTATCTCCTTGCATTCAGCAATCCAAGGCAGAGCCGAGCAAAGAATCAACGCCTTGACTCAGAGTTTCAGCACCAGAATAAACCTTTCCTCATAGATTTAAACGTTCCTCTCCTCACAGCTTTTAACATTCCTCTCCTCACACTCAACATGCAAAACTGAACACTGAGACACACACAGACAGATGGCACATTATGACTGAATATCTCAAGAGTTTTGGAACATAACTCGGTGATCAGCAAAGTGAAAAATTCCATTTCAAACTGATCAGAAAGAATACTTTTAAGGTCAGCTATTGAAAGAAACCCTCAATAAACTTAGTGGGCTTGTGGTCCCATTCCAGCGTGACTCGTCCTTTAAGCACTTCCTGTGCTCTCTTCTTGACCTCTCCAACATCGGCTTCACTTGTAGAAGACGTGACAAATCAAAAAAAAAGTCCAGCCCTGATTCTATCAATGGCTCAAAGGCAGGAAATGCACCGATTGTTTCAGGTGGCTGCTGTGGCTTTTTGTGAGACCATGCTCTAACAAAACCACACCACAGGCTTTTTGAACATCAGCTTGTAGTCTGAGCAAAATTAAAAGAGCAATGACAAAAAGAACGAGGGTCACAGGGTATCCAAAGGGTTTTTGCATTAACCTGTTTCAGTTCATCTTAAGTGAACATTTAAGAGCTACAGCCTTTTACATTTTAACTTTGCACATTTATCGATGACTTCATTATGTTATGTTTAGTAAAGGAAGCACAGTTGGCTCCAATCTGTCTGTGGAAGATATGTGTTTGCATGATTCAGTTGATCCGAATTAAAACCCACTAAGTTCAAGAACAATTTACAAAACGTATAAGTGTTGTGATGTACATGTCCTAAAGGTCACATATCCTCCTCCTCTTCAACCAGTTTAAATAAGTGTCAGAGCTCCTCACTTGTAAGCTGTGTCTGACCACGCCCCCTCTCTGGAAGGGCTTGGGTATCTCGGGCTTTCTCGCTCCATGTCCTATTGTTTACGGTGAGAAGGCAGACTCAGAGGTCAGAACAAACACCTAGCTGTGGGAGTGTCACCCACCTGGGGGAGGGGTTACTGCCCTTTGTGATGTCATGAAGGGTAATCTACAAACGGCCTGTTTGAGCACACATTTTCTGAGGGGAGCAGGCAAAAGACGGAGAGGATGGACTTTTCTCATCATTGAGGGGTTTGTAGACAGACTAGGGACACATATTAGAGTTAGAGAAACATGTCATACAGACCTGAATATAAGAAAAAGTAGCCTAACTCGCCGTGTTTGGGCGGATGATGAGTCTCGTGTTTCATGCAAAGGAGCGTCTAATCATCTCAGTTTGAATAAATTCAAAGTGTCTTCCAAATGAGTCCCAGGGTGAGGTTCAACTTCCCCTCCAGTTTGCTCTTCTTGGCTGCCCCTCCCTTTTTATACACCAGGCATACAGATCAGAGAGCAAACAGAAAAGTTTCAACGTTTAAGGGCATTAAAGGAATGTAATGATCAACACTCAGGATCCGCAAAACGGAGAGGGATGTATTTCAAATCCTGACTAAAGCTCCTCCAGGCAGGGAGGACATTTTAGGTTCTGCAGGAGTGAAAACGAGGTCTTGTTCCACTATAAACAAGCTTTTTGAAGTAAGGACAGCCTGGTTTACACGAGGAAGAGTGAGCCCACACTGCTCAGTCCTGCAGCAACACGCCGCCCACACCTCGTCTAAGAACCTCTCACCAACAAGAGAGCGGCCAGAGAAGATGTATTGTGTCATATACATTTTTAGAGCAATTTTCCTACTTTCAGAAATAGAAACAGCAATTCCACCCAGAGACTCCAGGGACGTGCTGTAATAGATGGAAATAAAAGTCATTATGCAGGCAGGATTCCCCCACTCCACCCCTGGACGACCTTCACAGAGCAGGGTCACAGTATGAGCCGCGGCAGCAGCAGATGGAGTCATGATTGATGCTTGTTTTTCCAGAAGGGACCTAACATGTTCCCTGTCAGCAGAGATGGGAAGTTAAAAAGAAAAACAACTTTCCCTACTCTACCTAGGTCCAGTTTTGGGCTTTTTACTTCAGCTTGAATCTCTATTTACAGATTGGACACTAAAATGTAGAATCTGTAGAAACACTTTGGAATGAGAAGCGTTCTGGTTGATAGTCTCCAGTACGTTTGTAGGGTTAGGGTTGAGTGGTATTGCTCAATCACGTACCAGCAGGCCTCGGTGCATGCAGGTAGAAGGTTCATATGGAGGGCAACAACAGGCAGAACACTTTCCACCTGAATGACATCACAACTCCCACTTACATCCTGTTTCTCTCTACTCTGGGCAATAAACTTAGATCTGAGAGTGTCATGAATGTGACTTAAACTAACATTAAAGGAGCAATATGTAGCTCTGACACCTAGTGTTTAAAATGGGTACTGCAGTCCAAATTCTAAACATTGTAGAGAGCTGTCTCCTCTGGTCCAAACAAATCCAGAGCATTCAGGAGCAGAATCTAAAGTTAGAAGGAGGACATACTGGCTGCTGCATTGTTGTCAGAGAAGCCAGCACTTCAACATAGCATGTTTCCTTAATGTCTGATCATATAGTAAGGTCACTTTATCATTTCACTCACTACACATCTCACTGATTGGACCTTTAATTAAAGTACTAAAATATGGCTGACGACTTTGGAGCAAATTCAAAGCAGCAACATTTCCTGACCTACGAATTTGCACACTGGAGCAAAGTTGTTGTTCAATGTTTTTAAGTAAGAATGATTCAAGTACTTCAATTCTTTAATACATTACGTTAAGTTACTTTGAACTTATAACAGCCGGAATAAATATTCTCCAGAGGCTTTCTTTTGACAAGAATCCGTAACGTTTCACTTTTACTTCAATAAAAACTGAATCAATATTTCTACTTTTACCTACCAAAACTTTTTTAACCCCGTTATCTGTACTTCTTCTGACACTTCTTCTTGTGCCTATAAATCCCGTGTGGGAAAGCCTATAACACAGGAGTTTGAACAGGGACGACTAACTAAGCCATGTATCTTTCTATCAGGGGAATAAGCGCTCCCTGAAGCTACTGGAGGAGTCTATTAGGTGGCAATTTCCTGACCAACGTCTAATCTGGGTTCCAGGTCCCACAGGAGGGATTACATCTGAGAATAAAGATCAAGAACAAATAAGATGAGGGCTACTAGATGTTTAATGAGCTGTGTCGCACTTACAAAGGAGACGCAGGCAGCCAGCAGCAGGATCCGGACCATGAGGTCCTCAAACTGCTCCACCACCATCTCCCACAGGGACTTCCCTGGAATAAGACAAATACACATTACGTGACTTTATGCATGACAGACTGTAAAAAATGATCAGGCTTTCAGAGTGAGGACTCAAAATTAGCTCAGTGCTTAAAGAATAAGAAGGATCCGTGAAATATATTGACTTTATTTGCCTGCTGCAGACGAGCAGTTGTAAAGAAAGACAATTCCTGTGTTTGCAGAAGAGTAAGGATGTGTGTGCATGTGTGGAAACCTGCAGCCATGTCCCCTCCCAAAGTTTAGCCCTCAGTCTACAGAGAAGAAAAGCCCTGAGCTTGAGACACTTCATCAGGTAGTAAAAAGGGAGGAGGACCCGCAGTTCACTGGAAAAATCAATATTTACCTTCTTCAGCTGGGAGCTCTGTGTGGATGTCACACAACCACGGTGGTAAAGGAGTCGAAATCGGCCGGACCGAGGAAACAGGAGAGGAGATGAAAGGAAAGGAGAGGAGAAGAGAGGAGAGACAGTTAATACATTTGATTGCATGATGCATGGACATGAACAAACATCTCTGCACATTAAAGAAAAAAACACACAGGACGGCCAAACAGTCTTCTATCTAAAGGTTATATTCTGAATTTGTAATCTTAATGCCTTTGATTAACTACCAATGAGAGGCCATTGACATGCTACTCACACAGTTTGTGAATGCCTCAAGCTGACAGTGTAAACTCAGCTGCAAAATGACTCTCTGAAAGAAAGAAAACGTGCTCCACACAGAGCATGTAATAACAAACAGCTTGGTAAGATCGAACCAAAGCCTTTTTTGATTCTTCTTTGATTGCTCATATCCTGCTCCTGAAAAGGTTATCTGAGATCACTGATGGTCCATCAAGTCTGTGAATGCTCTCTAACCATCAGTGGGATTGGACTCAATATATCTTCAATAATGTGAAGAGAGTGTGTTTGTTCTCTTTGGTAAAAAAAACAAAAAACAGCCTCAGTCAAAGGGTGTCAGAACCCTTTTGGAAATGGAGTGCATGTTTAATCTAAATCTGGAAATCTTTAAGGGCAGCATCCTAGTCATTTTTATCATTGATAAAACGTCAAAAGTAATGCACATCATAAATTACCAAAGGCTAATTTGGGAGAACGTTTTAGGAGGCTTTTAATTATAAAATCTTCACGTTGGAGAGGCTGGAAGCAGAGAGGTTTCTGCAGTTTCTGCAGTTCTTTATAGAAAATTGTTTGAAAGACTTTTATGTTGATCAAGTGAAGTTACACACTTGAATTATTCCCAATAGTTTTGCATGTGAACACCAGCGGCCCATTTTGAAGATATACATTTGACCTAAAGTTGGAATAAGTCTGAGGGCTTTCTATTGACTCCATGTGTCTGACATTCAGAGGATGAGGTTAAAAAGTTTGACAGCCGCAGGCAGGAATAACATCCTGCTGAGCGCCATGTAGCATCGATATTTAAAAAGTATTTTACTGAATGATCGTTGAAGCTGAAGACAGAATGGATCTCTTTGACAACACTAGCTCAGAGTCTAGAGCCACCATGAGAAGGTGAGTGGTCCCTGCTGGTCCCCCCCCCCCATAGAAATCTGATTGGCCACCCCAAAAATCCTAAACTGTGATTAGCCATTTGCCCTGTCAAGGCGGGACTTGTGCTAAAAGCAACTATTGGGTCTTTTTTTGCAAAGGCTGCGAGTATTTTTCTTTGCATGAATGCAGCATATTTTCTTTTTTTTGTACTTTAAATTATGTTATTTCTTGTGTGATCCGTAGTTAGAATAGAATGTCTTTATCGTCATTATACAATGTACAACAAAATTATAAAGCTTCACCTTAAAGTGCACACACATACAATCATCCATAGCTAAAAAAAAAAAAAAACTCTCATACAGGTAAGATGGATAGTGTATGTGTAGATGTATTTACAGTTGGCGCCCACACTGAAGTTTTTTGGACAACAGTAAAGTTTGGAGGCTACCAGGCAACACTCTGCCTCCGTCAGACGGTGGTGATGTCATTGACATTCATGCTGCAGACTCTGCTACTGGACTCCATTACTCTGCGATCAGAGGCTCTACACGTCCCTTCTTCTAAATCAGTGTGTGGCTACGCTCCCTCAGTAAACACATGTGGCGTTTTCTTACACATTATCTCGTCATCCTTTGTGTGTCATTTCAAATGAAAGGCTGTGTTTTGGGGCCATTTTGGACACAAAGAGCGTTTTCTCCTCTCTCTGCTGGTTTGATAAGCAGAACACAACAACACCCACCACATGAGTCACTGGTGTGAGTAGAAAACACATCAGTCACTTTCTAAAAACATTCCTATTGACGCGTACTGCGGCACCGCGACGAGACACAGATGTGATTAATCACTGTGTTTGTCAGAGGCCCATCAACAGGTTTTAACATCCATCTCATCTGAAGAGCTCCATGAGCGGTGACATAACTATGACTGACTCAAATTCAGTTTTTTCTGCCTTGAAGATCTTTGTTTTTGTTCTTTGTGGAAGAATGGGAGTTCTCCGTTCAGCAGTGGAAACCTCGTGTTCCTCTACATGTTTTGGGTGAGCCGCGCTCCACGAGTCTAAAACGTGACCCCTGTAGAGAGAGAGCGCCTGGAAAGAGGAAAGGCCATGATGTGAGCTCGCAGCCTCCTTCCAAAAAAACGAAGCATTCGCAGCCTCTTGCATTACACAAATACACAAGCCACTAGCGGAAAGACATTTATTTCACATTAAGACTCCTGGGATTCCTCCAACACTTCCAAATGTTGTTACTGGGTGGTTAGAAGAGTGCAAACTTCGCCAGCAGTAATGAAAAAGTGTTCTGATAGATGGAACAACCTTCCTAATTTGGTTGGTAATAAAGCCAAGGCGAGAGAGACAGATTGTTGCACTACAAAGATCTATAAAAGAGCACAGAAGTTCTTAAAAAGGCATTCAAAGCAATTCTTGGATTCGATTACGCCTCCATAAAACATTCTTTTTTTGGTGAAGATCGACCCTGGTGTCGAGGTCATGTCTCAGCTCCACGAGAGACCGTCCGCCTCCTGTAACAAAAGCCGATGAGTCATTGTGAAGCGCTTTTCAAACTTGCTGTCTGGAAGCTTTTCAGAGTTCAGGTTGGACACGGTTGAACTCACAGGGGACTTTTGGCTGCACTCTGCCTGCAGAGGCTGCAGAAATGTGGAGAAATAGGTTCTGCTGTTTTCCATGCTCCATCAGTCTGACATAAGCCGGTTTCCCCATTACTGTGCCTCCCTTGTTGTATAATGTTTTTATGGCAGACAGGCTGGCTGAGGGCTGCAGACAAAGACGGATTGAGTGAAAGAACGAGACTGACGAGAGGGGAAAGAGCGAGGGAGGGAGGGAGGGAGGGAGAGGGCTGGAGGTGGTGAACGGGGTTCCCCGGCTTCCCTCTGCCAAAGGATTCCCTCACAGTCATCTGGGCTGTGTCAACCCGAGGGCTTGCCCAGGCACATTCCTGAATACTGACTTCACCTCCCTCGCTCATTCTCTTTCGCTCCGTGTCCCCACAGCACCTCCCTCCGCCTCCTCCTCCTTCTTCCCGACCCAGACAATGAATAAAAGAGCTTGTTTACAAGCAGCGCGGAGCATAGAGGGGAGACACTTCCTGGAGACGGTTGCCAACAACAGCAGGGGGCTGGTTTGTGTGTCCAGAGAGGCCAGAGAGGAAAGCAGGAAACTGGACATGTATCTGCATCTCTGCAAACTGCAAACAGACTGCTCGATGAAGTAGATTTCACAACAAGCTCCTCTTACTGTACACTCCTCCTTCTGTCTAACCGACGCCGTCAACAGACTCCAGCTTAGATTACCTGGACCCCTGGTAAACATCACATCACTGTGTGGCTGGAGTTGAATTGTACAAGCTCTAGTTTTTCAGGCCCCTCTTGTGTAAACACGAGAAAGTTTTCAGCAGTTACCATGGCAACTTGGCTTATGCAGCCTCTTTGAAAAACGTTTCACGACTTAATGTGCCAGTGTTTGTCAAAATTTACCAAGAATATTGGTTATGCAATCGGCAGGGCCTTGATACAAGCATAAAAAAAAAACTTTTAGATGTGAAAAAGCTCATTTCAAGGCTCGGCAGGATGCTAAACGCAGCTAGCATGAGCGGTAGCACGCAGGCGAGCAGACACACCCACAAATAAGAAGCTAGCAGCAGCAAGTGTCTGAAAAACAAGTCGAGATGAGAAATGGTTTTTTTTGTTTTTTTACTTGGTCAACACTTGCTGATTTGTGTTTGTTTCTGGTCAACATTATTATGCTAGCTAGCATTAGCCTCAGGGGCTCGTGTGTTTATCATTGCTTGGAGACATCATCAATGGCGTCGCCTCCTCGTTCCCCGATGTCTCCCTGTGGTATTAGGGTTTAGCTTGGAAGTAGGGCTTGCTCAAAAAAAGTCTGTATGACAATATATCCTAATGTAGTGCTTACCAACATGTGTATCGAGGCAGATGTCAATAAATTGATATGGCCGCAAATGCTTTGAAGGAGCATGCACAAGAAACTCTACCCCACCTAGCCAAATGGAAATCAAAGACATGGGAGCATTTAGGGGTTTCGCTAACACCAGGCAGTCAGGAGTTGGACATGAGTCATGCAATATGCAAGCTTTGCAAAAACCAGATAAACTACTGCAGCAACACGACCAACCTCCGTCTGCACATGGCAAGTCGCTAGCAACAACAGCTAGGTCCGCCGTAATCATCTACAACAAAGAAAAGCTGTTGAAGGGAATTCTGTGTCGGACACGGCCATTTTTATAAATCTACGTCTATTGCAATATGCATGATGTTGTGACCTCTGTACTGTGATTTGTATAGTAGGTTGTAGGAAATACCCGGCCCTATTTGGAAGCGATGACGTTATAATTACATTATAATACTGAATATCAAACATGTCTGAAATCATAGGGACAAACTGTTGACTGGCTCAGTAATCTCCTCACATTAACAGATAATCTGTGCCAAACACTGATACCGTCAAGGGGCGGAGCTAAAGTGGCTTAGAACTTCTGTAGTTTGAGTCCCGCTTCAGGATCTCATAACATCAACAAACCACGAGAATGTAAAACAGGCCTATAAATATCACAATGATGTAACCCCTAATAACAGTCTACTATAACTTCCTATATCTGCTTCCTCTCCAAATGTACTCTCCCAGTGGAAACAGTCTGAATGCATTAACAATCTCAAATGTGAATAATACATGTTCCCCTCTCTAACACTGGTGTCTCTGCTGCAGGAGGCATGGCAAGTAACAGCATGGGGAATGAGTCGATATTTCTGTCATTTACGTAGATGTCGAAAGAGGACTTTCCTTCTAGGAGGACGTGATATACCACCATGTCAAGAGGCTAAGTGTCAGCAGC